TGTGGGGTACTGGGCTAAGTGTGGGCCATACAGTGTGGGGTACTGGGCTAAGTGTGGGCCATACTGTGTGGGGTACTGGGCTAAGTGTGGGCCATATTGTGTGGGGTACTGGGCTAAGTGTGGGCCATACTGTGTGGGGTACTGGGCTGTGGGCCATACTGTGTGGGGTACTGGGCTAAGTGTGGGCCATACTGTGTGGGGTACTGGGCTGTGGGCCATATTGTGTGGGGTACTGGGCTAAGTGTGGGCCATACTGTGTGGGGTACTGGGCTAAGTGTGGGCCATACTGTGTGGGGTACTGGGCTAAGTGTGGGCCATATTGTGTGGGGTACTGGGCTAAGTGTGGGCCATACTGTGTGGGGTACTGGGCTGTGGGCCATACTGTGTGGGGTACTGGGCTAAGTGTGGGCCATACTGTGTGGGGTACTGGGCTAAGTGTGGGCCATACTGTGTGGGGTACTGGGCTAAGTGTGGGCCATACTGTGTGGGGTACTGGGCTAAGTGTGGGCCATATTGTGTGGGGTACTGGGCTAAGTGTGGGCCATACTGTGTGGGGTACTGGGCTGTGGGCCATACTGTGTGGGGTACTGGGCTAAGTGTGGGCCATATTGTGTGGGGTACTGGGCTGTAGGCCATACTGTGTGGGGTACTGGGCTATGTGTGGGCCATACTGTGTGGGGTACTGGGCTGTGGGCCATACTGTGTGGGCTACTGGGCTAAGTGTGGGCCATACTGTGTGGGGTACTGGGCTGTGGGCCATACTGTGTGGGGTACTGGGCTGTGGGCCATACTGTGTGGGGTACTGGGCTAAGTGTGGGCCATACTGTGTGGGGTACTGGGCTAAGTGTGGGACATATTGTGTGGGGTACTGGGCTAAGTGTGGGACATATTGTGTGGGGTACTGGGCTAAGTGTGGACCATACTGTGTGGGGTACTGGGCTAAGTGTGGGCCATATTGTGTGGGGTACTGGGCTAAGTGTGGGCCATACTGTGTGGGGTACTGGGCTAAGTGTGGGCCATACTGTGTGGGGTACTGGGCTAAGTGTGGGCCATATTGTGTGGGGTACTGGGCTAAGTGTGGGCCATACTGTGTGGGGTACGTGGCTGTGGGCCATACTGTGTAGGGTACTGGGCTAAGTGTGGGCCATACTGTGTGGGGTACTGGGCTGTGGGCCATACTGTGTGGGGTACTGGGCTAAGTGTGGGCCATACTGTGTGGGGTACTGGGCTAAGTGTGGGCCATACTGTGTGGGGTACTGGGCTAAGTGTGGGCCATACTGTGTGGGGTACTGGGCTAAGTGTGGGCCATATTGTGTGGGGTACTGGGCTAAGTGTGGGCCATACTGTGTGGGGTACTGGGCTGTGGGCCATACTGTGTGGGGTACTGGGCTGTGGGCCATACTGTGTGGGGTACTGGGCTAAGTGTGGGCCATACTGTGTGGGGTACTGGGCTAAGTGTGGGCCATACTGTGTGGGGTACTGGGCTAAGTGTGGGCCATATTGTGTGGGGTACTGGGCTAAGTGTGGGCCATATTGTGTGGGGTACTGGGCTAAGTGTGGGCCATACTGTGTGGGGTACTGGGCTGTGGGCCATACTGTGTGGGGTACTGGGCTGTGGGCCATACTGTGTGGGGTACTGGGCTAAGTGTGGGCCATACTGTGTGGGGTACTGGGCTAAGTGTGGGCCATACTGTGTGGGGTACTGGGCTAAGTGTGGGCCATACTGTGTGGGGTACTGGGCTAAGTGTGGGCCATATTGTGTGGGGTACTGGGCTAAGTGTGGGCCATACTGTGTGGGGTACTGGGCTGTGGGCCATACTGTGTGGGGTACTGGGCTGTGGGCCATACTGTGTGGGGTACTGGGCTAAGTGTGGGCCATACTGTGTGGGGTACTGGGCTAAGTGTGGGCCATACTGTGTGGGGTACTGGGCTAAATGTGGGCCATACTGTGTGGGGTACTGGGCTGTGGGCCATACTGTGTGGGGTACTGGGCTAAATGTGGGCCATACTGTGTGGGGTACTGGGCTGTGGGCCATACTGTGTGGGGTACTGGGCTGTGGGCCATACTGTGTGGGGTACTGGGCTAAGTGTGGGCCACACTGTGTGGGGTACTGGGCTGTGGGCCATACTGTGTGGGGTACTGGGCTAAGTGTGGGCCATACTGTGTGGGGTACTGGGCTAAGTGTGGGCCATACTGTGTGGGGTACTGGGCTGTGGGCCATACTGTGTGGGGTACTGGGCTAAGTGTGGGCCACACTGTGTGGGGTACTGGGCTGTGGGCCATACTGTGTGGGGTACTGGGCTAAGTGTGGGCCACACTGTGTGGGGTACTGGGCTAAGTGTGGGCCATACTGTGTGGGGTACTGGGCTAAGTGTGGGCCATACTGTGTGGGGTACTGGGCTAAGTGTGGGCCACACTGTGTGGGGTACTGGGCTAAGTGTGGGCCATACTGTGTGGGGTACTGGGCTAAGTGTGGGCCATACTGTGTGGGGTACTGGGCTAAGTGTGGGCCATACTGTGTGGGGTACTGGGCTAAGTGTGGGCCATACTGTGTGGGGTACTGGGCTAAGTGTGGGCCATACTGTGTGGGGTACTGGGCTGTGGGCCATATTGTGTGGGGTACTGGGCTAAGTGTGGGCCATACTGTGTGGGGTACTGGGCTGTGGGCCATACTGTGTGGGGTACTGGGCTGTGGGCCATACTGTGTGGGGTACTGGGCTGTGGGCCATACTGTGTGGGGTACTGGGCTAAGTGTGGGCCATATTGTGTGGGGTACTGGGCTAAGTGTGGGCCATACTGTGTGGGGTACTGGGCTAAGTGTGGGCCATACTGTGTGGGGTACTGGGCTAAGTACCAAATACTGACATAAAACTAGAATACATTGAGTTACTGACACAACATTGGCGCTATGCACAATTCAGGTAACCTACAGGTAAGCGCCAGGTAACCTACAGGTAACCTACAGGTAACCTACAGTTAACGCGAGGTAACCTACAGGTAACCTACAGGTAACCTACAGGTAAGCGCGAGGTAACCTAGAGGTAAGCGCGAGGTAACCTACAGGTAAGCGCGAGGTAACCTAAAGGTAACCTACAGGTAAGCGCGCGGTAACCTAAAGGTAACCTACAGGTAAGCGCGCGGTACGGCGTACTGTGCCACCCGCAGACGATACACGTGGATGGAGTGCTTGAGCCGCTCCCCCGTGACATTGACCTTGAAGTCCCAGTCATTGACGGAGTAGATGTTCAGTATGGGCTGGCCTTCCGGCATGTACGGAAACTGCAGGCAGAAGACGTCACCCATGTGTGATACCTGGGCTGGGGATGTAGTGGTGGTTCATGTCATCGGAATTGGGAAGTGGTGAAAACTATTCGGAAAGTAATGCTAGGCTGACAGTATAATCGATTGCTAAAATAATAAAAAAATATTTTTTAACTATAAAGATAATTTATTATGGTCGGCTGGGGCCCCTAAATGGCGTGCACCCCCCTCCCCCCCCCCCCCCCCCCGCGGGGTCTGGCGGCACTGTAGTTCCGCCCCTGTGAGGGATAATGTGGTAAGCACTATGCATAACCCGTATTTTCCCTAGCATGAGTTAGGTAAACATCAGAACTGGGTAGACTCAGGGATGTTCCACTAACTTGAACCTTGGATTGAACTCGAAACGTCGGATAAGTAGTCTAGAGCTCTACCGCTTGGGCACACTATCCCAATACGTTGATCAAGTAGAGTAAATGTAAGCTAGACATTTCATTTAGGTCTAGAATCTAGATAGATCTACATCTAGATCTAGTTATATTTTCTAGATCTATATACCACAACCTAATGTACATACCCGATACTTGGACTACCAACATACATTCAAACAAAGCTGCAAAGACAAATGTTGTCAAATGTTTGCTTTTGAGAATCGAGTTCATGTTAAATCTATTCAATATTTTCTTGAATTGCTCCCAGCTCATGTGTGTGTTTACGAACAAAGGCGGAAGTCGATCAAAGGTTTCCTTTAACAAAAACGGGAAGAAAACGTTATAGTGCAAATTGGCGTGGTGCGTAGTTTTTGCGCACCAAAAAAAAATACTGCAAAAAGTTTCCCAAAACGTCTTACGATAGGCCTAGTTACGTAGACTTACTTCTCTTAAGAATGTGAATAAAATTTTTTTTACCATATTTACAATGTTATTTAGTTAACGAAAATACTACACATATCAGTCTTTAGTTAGGTTTGATAAAATTATTTAATTTAGTATCACCGTACTCGATTTTTTTCCCGTTGGATACAATGGCTTTTTATACAATAGATACAGGTTCAGCCTAGGCCTCAATTTATAGATACGGTTCACATTCTGAAATTGTGCTAAGTAATTTTGAGAAAAATACAGCGGAAATGATTTCCTTTTTTACCGTGTATCATCTTTTTATAATAATATACCACTAAAACTTCTCAAATTCTTATGGGTTCATTTAGGTACATTTTGATTTTTGAGAAAGTCGAAGTAGAGTAATTACCACTTACTGTTACGGAAATCTCTCAAAACTATCGTGTTCACAGACTGACTGATCTCTTCTCAGGGGGAGGGTTGTGTAAAAATTCTAGCTTTGTCCAAATCTCGATTTTGCTTATACAACACAATAATTCCTCTATACTACGTTAACGAGAAAGTAAAAAGGGGTCGCCACTCATACTTAGATATAATATTTATGCATCTAATTTCGTCAAACTACTGTAGCGGTTCATTAGTTATCGTATGTATACACAGAAAGAGACAAGTAAAATTGTAAAATAGTGTTTCCCCGATTACGGATAGATGTAAAATGCCAAAAATTGTCCACATCTCGATTTAGATCTTTTTTTTTTGGCACGATTATAATGCATCGTTTATACTCCATTCTACGATTAACTGGAGAGGTTTAAAAAGACTTTCAAATTCTCATTTAATTTTTGTGCACGATAAAAATACTTCCTCTACAGAAACTGCTTGGTATACGAGTAGACAAAAAGATCCACGGCGGCGCGCAAAACTTCTGCAACATGAACTCTACAGATTGGTGCGCAACATCGAAAATAGAAAAGAAACTCACAAAGCGCTTGTCTACGCGACCTCTGAACACACCAGCCTGCTACGATACTCATAGCAACTGAGTAACCATCAGCGCCTAGCCATGTTGCTTTTTATTGCAGACTCGCTTTATTTTGTATTAGGGTGTGTAGACTAAACAGTTCTTGTGTACACCGCGCATTAAACAGTCTACTAATGTGTACCAATTTGTCAAGAATGATCCACCTTTTAGTCATTGTTTTCTTGGGATTATTCTCAAATATTGAAGGTAAAATAGTTTCCACTCAATATGACATCCTAGAATTCTAGATCTAAAGCTAGAAATCTAGATCTAGCCCCTTGGCGCATAGCATATGCGCATAAAGACATTTATTCTACTGCTGCCAGTCGTTGTGTATTGGGTACATCCAGACGGTTGTATGGGTAGTACCAATGGTCACGCTGTAAAGTCGAAATTTATGACATCACACTCTCTTGACTCACGCGCATCGTAATTTTTCTGACTTCGTGAATTCAGCCTAATTACATTGATTATTATTACTAAATAGGTGATCTGTTTTTTCTACAACAAATACTAATAGCTTTATTATTCACTCTTTTATGTTTATACACAGTATAAATCACATATGAGAATAATTTTGTAAGTTATCTTCTGATTACGGTTTGTCGCGTTTTTGCGACATCCGGCAATAAGACATTGAATGGTACTTGGGTGCCAAGCAGGTATAACAAAATACGATGCATCGCCAAGCTGTCATGTATTTAAGTATGTTTATAAATAAGTAAAGGATTTACAGTATAGTCTTCGCCTATATATAAAAGTGCACTTTAGAACGTTACGGTCCATGAAGTAGAGTTCACCTGTTTCATTGACATTGGCATATGGAGAGAGAGAGAGCGATGCTGGAATAATGTGTTTCAGCCTGTGAGTACCCATAGTAGTGGCAATAGGTAGCTACAGCAGTCATCTGTAATCCATAGCAGTATCATTCGAATCAGTGGCGTAGCTAGGAGTTTTGGGCCCCTATGCAAAAATTATCAGTGGGCCCCCTTCGTCAGCCGTTAGGCTACAATGGAGTTAAACTAAGGAATCAAGTGTTACTTAAGATGGAGGGTTTTCAATAATATAAATATTCTGTACAGTATGTATTTTATACGTCCTGATTGTGTATTTATACTATATTATAATGAAGGTCTAAAAATGTTACAGGCTTACATTTAATTTTTTTAAGTAACCAAACACAATTAGTGGAACGTCCGTGAGTCCACCCAACTATGATGGGTATCTAATTCATGTTAGAGAAAGTAAAGGCGGTTGTGCATTGCAGTGGCGTAGCCAGGATAGTCTCAAGGGGGGGGGGGGTTCCAATTTTTACCCGGAGACAAACTTTCGATTTGCACCCCCCTCAAACTTTCGATTAGCACCCCCCCCTCTCAAACTTTCAATTTGCTCCCCCTCAAACTTTCGATTTGCAACCCCCCCCCTCATACTTTTTATATATATACCAAGGGGTCTAGTCCCCCCCTGCCTACGGCACTGGTGCATGGTGCTGACCACATTATCCCTTTATATGCCGAGGTCAAGAAACATATGAACTCCACTAACCAATGGATCGTTAGGTCTAAAGAGGAATCTGTACGTCTAAACACACTAGCGCACAAGGCGGGGCAGAGGTGCGGTCCACATCGGATGACACCATGACAAAACATTGTCAAATTTACTGTCAAAACTATGTTAAATCCAGCTAAAATAAAAGATAAGTGAGAGACGGCTAACACCTCACCGAAAGTGCACAGTTGTTGGGGGGGGGGGGGGCGATGGGGGTGACACCTTTAGTAAACGCGTAGGGTAACCGACCTTGTGATGCAACTAACCAAACACAATTTTTTAAAATTGCTCATGATTGAGTTAGATCTGTCTCTTTCTCATGTTTTAAACTTTGCAAAATGATTCATAAGTTCCTTGAGATCAATTTTAGCTGTTCCTGTATGTTCTATACTTAGGATGGTCAGTTATTGACCCAAAGGGCATATCTACACATTTTTTTCATAATAAATGAACAGCATCACAATGAGCAAATACACATATTTAAGAATTCCATCATAGATATAAACAATGTTCTCTCCGATCACCGTGGAATGTTAAAGAGTACGTACCTGTCCGCGTTGCTGCTATCTAGTTATCTAGTCCCAAATACCAGGGTACCGAAATGTTTTAAAAGGGTTTTATGTATTTTGTATTCGTGTGACCTGGCTTGCTAAAAATGAGATAGTTAAAATGTAAAAATCGCCACAGCTATTTTTTAAAATCTTTGTTGCTGGGGCGCGGGTTTGTCGACACTACCGCTCAGACGCCCTTGGGCGTGGTGTATGAAAGCATTGAGTATTTGTTAATCATCCTCCGTAATAGGGAGGTTGAATACCTTTTGGCGACCGCCTACAGACGTCGCGGAGGTTACTGGTTACACTACAGTAGGTAGACGGATGCAACACCTGGTTCGGTTTAAATCATCCAACGTAGAGACCCACCGTGTCCCTAGTGTAGGGTGCTCTTGTGCTTGGTGTCATCCGTACGCCGGGGGCGTCGAAGGCGCCCCTGTTGCAGTTTGATCGTTGAACAAGTAGTACCCCTGCATGACGCGCAATCAACGGATCCCTTGCACTCAGGTAGCCACTGGCTATCTCGAGGCGACCAAATTTTACTACTGTTGATGCGCTGGAGGGCACCCCTTATTCGATTTAGTAATCGATTTTAGTAGTCCTCTGAATTCCTAGTAGATGGCGCTCATTAAAACGATTATGGGCGTCGTAGTGTTCATTGGGGACCCCGGGGCGCATCGGGTTACACGACCGCCGGGGTGCCGTTTGATGCGCCTCTGCAATTTGCCCGCGAATGAAGTGGTAACGCTGACCAGCTGCGCCGGACACCCAATCAATGGCCCCCAGATGCTAAGATTGCCGCTGGAAAACTCTGGGTGACAAACCTCACGGCCTTACTACTGGGTCCCCGCCATCCGAAATAAAATAAAAATGTAATACCAGAAACCTTCCTAAATGTCAGAGTTTCTTTCAGGTACTTTCTAGAAAAATGTCTGGGGAAAAAAACACTGCCATGCAGTATTCCCAACTACACAAAATTTCTTGGCGATTGTTTGAAAACAAAAAACTCATAGTTGTAGTAGCGCCATATTAATTGAAGATAAATTAGATCAACAAATGAAATGTCTTTCAGGTAAAACAAGTTAATTAAAAAATCTAGTGACAATTTAAGCGCAATTTCTTTATGTTATCCATAACAATTTTAAATCGTCATCACGTTCAATAGATGCGTCATCACGTTCCATGGCTGCGCCATCACGTTCAGTAGGCGCGCAATGGTTTTTAGTCATATAACTATATTGCTATATAGTACTGTAGTGTATTATGTATAATGTAAGTTTAAAAATTTTTTTGTGACCAAACGAAAGGATATTTTTGAAAACTTTCTTCGGCAATATTGTTCTAAATTATAGCAGGAATCGATTGGTAAATGTTTCAAGTCGCTAAGTGGCCTGGTTGCCGAGATATGGGCCAAAAACTGCATTTTTTTGAGTTTTTTTGGCTTTTCTGGGAAATCCATGAAGGAATTCCGGAATTTTTTTGGCCCACTATCATCCTCGTAACTTGCTTAACATAATTGCTTTAGAACTAGTTCTCGATACTGCTTCGTTGAGGAGGAGATACGACTTAAAGCTGCGAACACACATCCATACATTCATACATCCAGAAATGACGGGTTAATAAACGCAATTCTCCAGAATGGAAATTGCGCTATAAAAAATTAGTAGAAAAAAATTGACAAATGTTATACTGATCTTGTTATGAAAACACTGTCCATGGTTGTTATTTTTAAAAAATGGTTCAATCGCTATCATGGATGTTTAGTAGGATGGAATTTCGGGGAGGGCAGACAGATCAAAGGAAGGTGTAGGTAATTTCCTAGTAAGTTGAGGTTTGTTGCGATACATGTACAATCTCATAAAAAAGTCGAAGTTCATTTATAGGCTACCTGTTCGACCCCCTACTTAATGACACTGTCTGTACAGTAAGAAAGGACTGGGGGCCTTTTTGAAACTTTTAATTTTTATAGAGTAAAAAGAAGCTGTATTTCCATTTTCTTTTTAAAATTATCTACATAAAACAAATATTAAAATTCCTATTTGCCTCGGGCCCCTATGCCTTGCTTACGCTAGCTTTACGGTAGCTACGCCACTGATTCGAGTACAACAGCGTAGCACGAAGAACCGAAATTGGAAACATTCGGTACCATCAACAATAGCATTGAGTACCCACACCAGTGGCACTGAGTACCCACACCAGTGGCACTGAGTACCCACACCAGTGGCACTGAGTACCCACACCAGTGGCACTGAGTACCCACACCAGTGGCACTGAGTACCCACACCAGTGGCACTGAGTACCCACAGCAGTGGCACTGAGTACCCACAGCAGTGGCACTGAGTACCCACAGCAGTGGCACTGAGTACCCACACCAGTGGCACTGAGTACCCACAGTAGTGGCAATGAGTACCCACACCAGTGGCACTGAGTACCCACAGCAGTGGCACTGAGTACCCACACCAGTGGCACTGAGTACCCACACCAGTGGCACTGAGTACCCACACCAGTGGCACTGAGTACCCACACCAGTGGCACTGAGTACCCACACCAGTGGCACTGAGTACCCACACCAGTGGCACTGAGTACCCACACCAGTGGCACTGAGTACCCACACCAGTGGCACTGAGTACCCACACCAGTGGCACTGAGTACCCACACCAGTGGCACTGAGTACCCACACCAGTGGCACTGAGTACCCACACCAGTGGCACTGAGTACCCACAGCAGTGGCACTGAGTACCCACAGCAGTGGCACTGAGTACCCACAGCAGTGGCACTGAATACCCACACCAGTGGCACTGAGTACCCACACCAGTGGCACTGAGTACCCACAGCAGTGGCACTGAGTACCCACAGCAGTGGCACTGAGTACCCACACCAGTGACACTAAGTACCCACAGCAGCTGCATTGAGCATGGACGAATATAAAATGGCTGAACACTGTCATTATTTGACAGTATTTGTTCACGTGCTTTTTGTGTACAGTAAATATAGGTCAAATGAGAAGTATGCGTGCTTATTAGTTGACCTTGAATAGGAGTTCACGAAAATGACGTAATCTGGAACAAATAAAGCTCTACACATTTAAGAAAGTCCTTTTATATATAGTGTGTTGCTGTAGTGTAGTAGAACCACGACAGCAAGGCTTCAAAACACCCATTTATAAGAGTTAGTCAGTTTTCATGAATTTTTGCAAGTGATTCTACATCTCCTTGCATGTCCGTATCTTTAGTTTGTGATATTCTCTTGTTTGTGCGTGGATATTTAGAGAAACACGTGTCAGTAAAAATAGTAAAATGACCCGGACTAAAAAAATTAAATTATTGTTTGGTCCGTAAGTGCCTGATGTCGCCTTTTCGCGACATACCGTAATTAACATAAAAAATAAGTCCAAATTTAAAAACAACTATATACCTCAAATTCAGTGTCAGTATGATGAGAGAAAATCAGCACAAATAATTTTTTACACGCTTGGAACATAATTCAGGCATTAATTAGAGTCTAAATAGAGATAGATCTTTCTAGAAATCTAGATTTGTAGATATTAGAAATTGGCACACCTTGTTAGGACATCGGCATGGATTGATTTAAGTTTAAATAAATATTTTAATTGTAATCTTACAAAGTCGCCTAGTGCTATTAGATTTAGATCTAGCAGTTTCGTGATTTCCCAATAGACTAAACGCCCGTAAGTAGGTAAAGCTTAGGATATGAAACTTATTAACTGAGATCTTATATGTTTAACGAGGAACTCCAGATAAATTATGATGTTTGAGTTAATGAATTAACCATAGCTTAGACCAGGGGCGTAGCGAGGGGGGGGGGGGGGGGGGGGGGCGGGGGGGTGCGGACCGCACCGGGTGACACCATTTAGGGGGGTGACACCAAGGCAAAAATAGCAAAATATATAGAGAAAAACTTGAGGCGGGGGGGGGGGGGGGTGCAAATCGAAAGTTTGAGGGGGGGGGGGGTGCTAATCGAAAACTTGAAAGTTTGTCCCCGGCAAGGGTCGCTACGCCTCTGGGGGGTGACACCATTATGTGCCGCACCGGGTGACACCCGACCTCGCTACGTCACTGGCTTAGACACAAGTTAACACGTACCATATTTTTTTCCACACTACCGCTCAAGGTTCACATATGGGAAATGAATTTCTGGTACAGTTCCCATACATGCCTGAAGGCCAACCCATCCTAATGATGTACTCAACCAGGCTCGACTCATTTGATGTTTATGTCACGGCACCATTGGCATTACAAGCCGTGTTCAAGAGAATTCAGCTGAAACGTTTCGAGGTCAGCTCTTACACGGTTCAACGGAAATACTTGTAAGTCTTTTTTTGCTGAGTGTGTTACAAGTAGTTCTTTTTAAAGGTGTTTTAAGCTAGTGTAAGTCCAACGTTTCTGTTCTAATATCTTGTGTTCTCAATCGTTGTGCTGTGAGCCTCTAGACTCTTTGTTGCTTTTATGTGTTTGTGTGATTGAATCATGACATTTTCTGTGAGTGGGTAAATAGTGTAGAACTTTGACTATTTATAATGTTGACTTTAACTATTTATAATGTTGGCAGTGACTGTTTATAAAGTCGGACTGGGAATGTTTATAACGAGGACTGTGAATGTTTATACCGTAGGACTGTGAACGTTTATAACGTTGGACTGTGAATGTTTATAACGTAGGACTGGGAATGTTTATAACGTCGGACTGGGAATGTTTATAACGTCGGACTGGGAATGTTTATAACGTCGGACTGGGAATGTTTATAACGTCGGACTGGGAATGTTTATAACGTCGGACTGGGAATGTTTATAACGTCGGACTGGGAATGTTTATAACGTCGGACTGGGAATGTTTATAACGTCGGACTGGGAATGTTTATAACGTAGGACTATGAATGTTTATAACGTAGTACTGTGAATGTTTATAACGTAGGACTATGAATGTTTATAACGTCGGACTGGGAATGTTTATAACGTCGGACTGGGAATGTTTATAACGTCGGACTGGGAATGTTTATACCGTCGGACTGGGAATGTTTATACCGTCGGACTGTGAATGTTTATAACGTAGGACTATGAATGTTTATAACGTAGGACTATGAATGTTTATAACGTCGGACTGTGAATGTTTATAACGTCGGACTGGGAATGTTTATAACGTCGGACTGGGAATGTTTATACCGTCGGACTAGGAATGTTTATACCGTCGGACTGTGAATGTTTATAACGTCGGACTGTGAATGTTTATAACGTCGGACTGGGAATGTTTATAACGTAGTACTGTGAATATACCGTAGGACTATGAATGTTTATAACGTCGGACTGTGAATGTTACATAAACCGATGCCATTGTGTCTCAGAGCATTAGCTGGTGGCAGCACATCGTCTATTGTCGCCAAAGGAAAACTAGATTTTGGGATGACGGTGTTTTTGGCGATATCCCTCCACTCGGCTGCCAGTTTCCAGGCCATACCAAGCGCCGGTTGGGGCGTGGAGTATTTTGTTCTGGTACCAAAGTAAGTCTTGACGTGTGTCATAACGGAATTATTTCTTCCTATATCAACGACAGTCACTTCTGTCTAGTGTTTTCTTACGGCATGGAACATTACGATTAGGTTCCCTTCGGAAATACACTGTTGGTACCCTCTAAAATTATTACCCAGTCTAATTGACTAATTAAAATTAATATAAAAATATATTAATATTTTCCACTATTTAAAACATATGTTATAACAATATACAATTCAAATTGGTACTTCAACAAAATAAATTTGATATACCGTTATTTACAATAGCCTTCAACGCGAGTTGAGACTTGTCTCATGTTTGACGCAGAACTTTGACAGTTTTAAACAATAATTACAATTTTTTATAGCATACAAGTTTTGTGTCCTTCCGAACATATATTATATATGTGTCGTTCGCAGCTCTATGAGTCATGCCATTACACTTCATACCAAACCATTCCAACCCGACACTTCATACCAAAACATTCCAACCCGACACTTCATACCAAAACATTCCAACCCGACACTTTATATCAAAACATTCCAACCCGACACTTCATACCAAACCATTCCAACCCGACACTTCATACCAAAACATTCCAACCCGACACTTCATACCAAAACATTCCAACCCGACACTTCATACCAAAACATTCCAACCCGACACTTCATACCAAAACATTCCAACCCGACACTTCATACCAAAACATTCCAACCCGACACTTCATACCAAAACATTCCAACCCGACACTTCATAACAAAACATTCCAACCCGACACTTCATACCAAAACATTCCAACCCGACACTTCATATCAAAACATTCCAACCCGACACTATATCAAAACATTCCAACCCGATACTTCATACCTAAACATTCCAACCCGACACTTCATATCAAAACATTCCAACCCGACACTTCATATCAAAACATTCCAACCCGACACTATATCAAAACATTCCAACCCGACACTTCATATCAAAACATTCCAACCCGACACTTCATGCTATGATATGTCTCCGACGTCTTCATACCCTAACATACCCACCCCTAGGGCTTCATACGATGACATCCCCACCCTTCGTCTTCATACCCTAACATACCCACCCCTAGGGCTTCATACCATGATATCCCCACCCCTCGTCTTCATACCCTGACGTCCCCACCCTATGTTTCATACGAAAACTTTATATGCTGTTTATCTCTAACAGGCTGGGACCTTCGATTATTGTAATTTCTTTAGTAAACGACAATGAAATCAAGATTCGCTTTGCTGAAGAAATGGAAACACTAGCATCATACTTTACGGAACATCTCCTATCGACCGTTGCCGTACAAAGGTGGGTAGCAAACCTAGCTGGTTGGACGACGGTAAGTACGCTAATCAGAGTATATTTATGTGACGTATGTAGCCAAGTAGATCAGAACGTTCATAATATTATTCAAGGAGGAGCTACTGAATTAGGAAAGTGTCTGACATTTATTGACCAGTGTCAATTTATTAACCAGTGTTTCTTTCAGACTTTTTTCTCCGGGGCAAGGGGCACTAGAAATTTTCGGGGGGGGGGGGGGGGGTGGTGGACTTTCTTCGGGGGGGGGGGGGGGCGGACACTGTTAAAATTATATATTTTCTATATAAATTATATAAATTTCATTTCGTTCGGGGGTCGGTAAATTTTTTTCGGAGGGGGGGGGGGCGGGGGGGGGGGGGGGGGGGGCGGATGAGATGCCTGGAAGAAACTCTGCACTTAACCCCTAGAAACGTTGATCGTCAGAACTTTGATTTCATTTCTATCAACTTATCCCTTAAGATCTCACGACTAAATTTTCTTTCTTTAAAAAACGTGTTTGAGTTTTCACATCGACAGCATCTGTCTTAGGTTGTGTGGTCAGTTGTTATCAATATCGTGGTTATCCTCTTTAAAAATAGTGTTTTTTAACCTGTTCAAGATACACCACCTGTACATTGCTTGTACTTCAGTTACTCGTAAATCTGGGAGCAGTTTTCCCCTTTGAAATTTAGGGAGTTATCATTAATCTCTTCCAGCTCTTAAAATGCCAACCCATTTGTATTTTCTACGTATTTAAAAAAAATATTTATAAACGACAAACACTATTTACAACGGAGGAGCTTTGTTCACTTACTAGCTAGATAAGCAATGCTACATTTATCTCTAAATCTCTAGTGGAACTGAACTAAACTTCAACACTTTTCTCTAAACCTAGTGGGACTTAACTAAACTTGAAGTAACTTAAATCATTTTATTTTAAATTGTTGATTTCGCTTAATTTTCATACTTGCTTTTATTTGTTTTACTCCCTAAATTACCTGTGAAAAAACTGACCTGACAAAGGCTCAAAATTGACTCGTAATTTAAATTTACCACTCGATCGGTATCTCGAATTTTAAAAAGTGGACAACCCTAACTTGTTAGTTTAAAAAAAAACAACACTTAACTGTAGAAAGATTGAAATTTGAATTTCCCTACCAGGAAAGAGGCGTACATCATGCAGAACTGTACTGGAAGAACCGTCGGAGAGAAGCCTCTCGGAGGTGAGTACTTCAGTGCCACTTTTATTTTGTTGTGAATCTTTTGAGTTCTATGTTTAAAACGATGCCGTAATGTAGGCATATTTCTTTGTGCATGAATGCTATATTTATTAATTTTCTTTTTTGTTGTTGTGGACATTCTTTTCACTAGGTGGCTGATTTGTGTACTGATTTGTGTACGCGACTGATTTGTGTACATTACTATACAATTTATGCACGTGACTGATATTTCTGTATGTGACTGCAATTTTATTGCGTTATATTTTTGGTACGTGTTTATGATTCATCTACGTGGCTGTGATATTTAATCACTTGACTGTGACATTCCATGGATCAGTACGTGACAGTAATATTTTGTTTGCGTGACTGTGAAACTTGTGTAGATTACACGAATGTAGCAATAGATTGTTGTGTTGTGATTTAGCTAACGCTCGTGACTTTAGACATGAGTACCCAACACCAGACATTCCTTGCCTATTGGATCTCGGATCATTTTTACTTTCTCGTATATACGAAGTATAGAGAAAGTCTTGTAAGCGTGCAAAAAAAAATAAAAATAAATCGAGATTTTTACAAATCTCGACGTTTTACACCAACCTGAGTCGGAGAAACATATTTTTGCAATCTTGTCCGTATGCCCGTGTGTATGTGTGTGTATGTGTGTGTGTGTGTGTGTGTCTCTGTTATTACGATAAGTATTTTATCAAAATCGTAGATCCGTATAAACTTTTGAGCGATTTCCGATAACCGGAAGTGGTACTTTTTCTACTTTGAATTTTTCAAAAGCCTATAACTTAAGTACTATTTCAGATAAATAAATAAAATTTCACATGTAAGTAAAATATCTCATTCTCTACCTTCTATCAAATTTTGAGTAATTTCCGTTGACCGGAAGTAGTAATTAACGCTATTTCAAATTTATCAAAAAACTAATATAAATTTATAAAGTACAAATAATATTGCGCACTATTATGCACATTTTATTTGGCGTTCACTTGGTGTGGAATTCTTTTTTTTTTTTAAACTTTAAGTATTTAAAATGGATTAAAAATCATATCTCTAGCCCGAGTTCCCATCCCTTGTTGTTTTATGTAAGAATATTCGAGAAAGTTTAGGGGAGATTACTCCCGGTTTTTTTTTTCGGTTTTATTTCTTGTGTGTTTTTGTATGACATGTTTGTATGAGTACTATGATATTTGTGTATGTGTGCTGTTGTATGTTTCTCCGTGTACTTTCCTACTAGATCTAAGAAAGTGTGTTCAGCTGCTTTTTTTTCTGGTGTTTTGGTGGAGCGCTCCACTGTATTCACAAATAAACCTATTCTCATCTTAACAGTCACACCGGTAAAACTAACATCCTTGTTTGCATTTGGCGTCATTATCGGATCGTGCGAAAAATACGAATTTAAATCAGAATGTGAAAGAGCAGATATCAAAATCGCTGGAGGAGCTACGGCAGGTATGATTATATATATATATATATATATATATATATATATATATATATATATATATATATATATACATATATATACATATATATATATATATATATATATATATATATATATATATATATATATATATATATATATATATATATATATAATCTGTCTGTCTGTCTGTCTGTCTGTCTGTCTGTCTGTCTGTCTGTCTGTCTGTCTGTCTGTCTGTCTGTCTGTCTGTCTGTCTGTCTGTCTGTCTGTCTGTACGCTATATATAAAATATATCTATTTCAGAAATGGTTTTCCCCCTTATGTCCTGGGGAAAACAATTTATATTACCTTCAATATTAAAGAAATCGTGTGAGCAGAGTTTACGATTCCTAACGCATAAGCCAAATACAGTTATACTTGTAACGTCGAACGAGGAATCACAGGTGATAAACGTTGCCGAGGCAGGTGCCATGGAGGTGAGTTGTTGATCTTCACTACATTCACCAGGTGAGTTGTTGAGCTTTACTACATTCACCAGGTGAGTTGTTGAGCTTCACTACATTCACCAGGTGAGTTGTTGAGCTTCACTACATTCACCAGGTGAGTTGTTGAGCTTCACTACATTCACCAGGTGAGTTGTTGAGCTTCACTACATTCTGCAGGTGAGTTGTTGAGCTTCATTACATTCACCAGGTGAGTTGTTGAGCTTCACTACATTCTGAAGGTGAGTTGTTGAGCTTCATAACATTCACCAGGTGAGTTGTTGAGCTTCATAACATTCACCAGGTGAGTTTTTGAGCTTCACTACATTCTGCAGGTATTTTGAGAAATCGGAAAATAACCTATTTTTAAAAAAAAATAGTTCAATAGAAGTACTCATTAAGCTCATTTAATTTAAATTATTATTGAAATTAGACATAGTGAAGAATGAATTTATTCAAAACTAATAATAAAAATAAATGACCACATGAAACCAATACACATAACAAGTTTCCGTGTTTCATAGTGTGTTTAGGATGCACATGTCTCCCGGGTGGGGGTTAGCGTTCGGCTGATGCTGTCACATTTTAGTTGTTATTTAAGTCAAACGGCAGACGGCAGGTTTTGACCACTTGACAATAGGGCTGGTAAGTAGGTCACAAACCAGTTCTATGGCTCAGGCGGATTTAATTTAATTGAGCCGTAGAACTAGTTGGTAACCTACTTACCAGCCCCATCGCTGTTCTATGTGACATGTCGCTCTTGAACTGACGTGTGTCGCTGAAACGGAAAAATAGCCAGCACGTCACACCATACATATTCAAAGAAAACAATGCCTTGTTGTTTTATAGAACATTTGTCCACCATTTTTGTCTTACTAAAAACATGAAATTGTGTGCTCACCTACACAGACGCAGCGGTTGACCTCGCCTTCTATAATTCACGTGAAGACCTCTGAGCAGATCATGCTTTATGTTGACTACGAATATCCGTGCGTGAAGGAGGAAGATGTTCGCTTTCAAGAGCTTGTCATGGTGGTCCCAATGCATTTGTTCATGAATGAATACACTTGGAGGTGCGCTATTGTTGTTAAGTTTTACACATTTTTACCTGTGTATGAATATGCTTGTAAGAATTTCTTCACATGTATGAAATACACATTGGCGCACATGAGGCGGTGTGGTTGAATGGTAGAGGGTTCGCCTGCTAACCCAAAAGTCTCAAGTTCCAATCCCCGCCTCGTGTTCGAATGACGTCACTGAATTCACCCAGCTCCAGTGGGTACCTGGCTCGCGAATAGAAATGTAAAGACGGATAGGAATAGTGCTGAACACACTACCCCTTCCTATATAAAACAGGAGAACTCTACTTCACCTGCCATATGGACAGGGTACTTTACTTTTCCATTGATGCATCTATTCATTTATCTATTTTAAAAAAAAAAATACATTTTATTCTATGAACCTATTATTTCCAAATGTACACATACCATCTAATGTATCAGCCTATAATTTCAAAATGAACACAACATTTAATGTATGAACCTATAATTTTAAAATGTACACATACCATCTAATGCATGAGCCTATAATTTTAAAACGTACACAAACCGTCTAATTTATGAACCTATAATTTCAAAATGTACACACACCGTCTAATGTATGAACCTATAATTTTAAAATATACACATAACATTTAACTTTTATTCGCAGCACCCCTTCAGCGAGAGGCTATACACCAGCACATTACATCTCGATCGTAGCACCAATCGATAATTTTTTTATCGATATCGATACACGAAAAGTCAGGTAGTAGGTTTAAATATTTATTAAATATGAGATGATAAGGGTTAGTTTATAACTGAAAGGTTTTTGTGCTCACTTTCTGGTTCAATGCAGAGAAAAGAAATGAGTAAATGGAAGCATTATGTGGTATCGCCAAGCATTATGTGGTACCGCTAAGCATTATGTGATATTACTAAGCATTATGTGGCACCGCTAAGCATTATGTGGTATCGCTAAGCATTAAGTGGTATCACAAGAGGATATGCTCTGGAAAAAAACAACTTCGTACTTAATTCGCCTTTTCAAAATTTATTTGTATGTATCTAAGTTAGGATACTTAAAGGAAACTATTTAACTACGTGAATGACAAGGCCCTATATCCTATGCGAACTATTTAATCCTTTTAATTGTGTATAATTTCGGTATTTTCATATTCCAATTTTAGCTTGAGGTGGAAGCGAGACACAATAAACCGTTGGCAGACGGCTTTCTCCAGGCTCGAACCCGGTACCCACTACATATCGTCATTAACAGGAATTCCATTCGGAATGTATGTGGTCGGGCTGACCCCGGATTACCAGTTTATCCATATCGCTGGATTTCATGTCGCACTCGATAATCAGGTAAGTGCATTCATCGCGCGGGTTTACATCATTTAAACATAATTCAGGCAGCTGTATATTATCGATGCGAAAAATGTAGGCCTATTCAATGCCGCGAGCTTATTTATATCATATTCTCTTCTTTGTCATTTCGCTGATCAGTAATCGTTGTGTTTGTTATATAATCATTTCGTCGTCTTTGTCAGGTCATCTTTTTGTCGTCTTTGTCAGATCATCTTTTTGTCGTCTTTGTCGGATTATCTTTTTGTCGTCTTTGTCAGATCATCTTTTTGTCGTCTTTGTCGGATTACCTTTTTGTCGTCTTTGTCGGATTATCTTTTTGTCGTCTTTGTCAGATAATCACGTAGTCCAGCGTTGTAACTAGCGGTATCAGAGCTGTGAGAAGCGACTAGAAAAACGTAGTTCAGCGTTGTAACTAGCGGTATATGAGCGACTAGAAAAACGTATGATTCTAAAAAAATCGGACCACATGTATGTACACTTTTTTTCCAGGAATCGTGTGAAAGGACAGCCGCGCGATACAATGACGGGCTAGATAACGATTGTGATGGTTTAATTGATGAGGAAAGAGAGAATCTAAAAGGTACAATAAACAATTACACAGTCTCTGTATCGTTGTCTTTGATACACATTAACCACTTATGTTAAAGGTAGAATATATATATATATATATATATATATATATATATATATATATATATATATATATATATATATAATACATAAATCATATTATAGCTTATGTATGTTAAATATTGCTTCCTCTTGTCTTGACATCTGTTTCCTCTAATCAAAAATATTACTCGCTGTTAACAGATGATGATTTTGATGGTGAGATAGATGAAGACATGGCATCGTACGCCAGCAGTAAGTCATGTTTCTTTAGTTAGTGTTAGAGTTAAGGTCATGTTTCTTTAGTTAGTGTTAGAGTTAAGGTCTGTTTCTTTAGTTAGTGTTAGAGTTAAGGTCATCTTTCTTTAGTTAGTGTTAGAGTTAAGGTCATGTTTCTTTAGTTAGTGTTAGAGTTAAGGTCATGTCTCTTTAGTTAGTGTTAGAGTTAAGGTCTTACTCTTTAGTTAGTGTTAGAGTTAAGGTCATGTCTCTTTAATTACTGTTCTATTTAAGATCATCTTTCTTTAGTTAGTGTTAAAGTTAAGGTCTGACTGTTGGGTTAGTGTTAGAGTTAAGGTCTGACTCTTTGATTAGTGTTAGAGTTAAGGTCTGACTCTTGGCTTAGTGTTAGAGTTAAGGTCTGACTCTTTGATTAGTGTTAGAGTTAAGGTCTGACTCTTTGGTTAGTGTTAGAGTTAAGGTCTGACTCTTGGGTTAGTGTTAGAGTTAAGGTCTGACTCTTGGGTTAGTGTTAGAGTTAAGGTCTGACTCTTGGGTTAGTGTTAGAGTTAAGGTCTGACTCTTGGGTTAGTGTTAGAGTTAAGGTCTGGCTCTTGGGTTAGTGTTAGAGTTAAGGTCTGACTTTATTTTTTTGTAAAGAACGATATCATAATGAACTAATAATTGATATCGCTGAGACTTACATAACCCAACTCTTGCACTAGCTAATAAGTACACAATTTAAGAGTACAGTGCTAAAAGTATATAAAGTCAAACTTTGCGAAAATCAAACTTAGAAACAGATTGATTTTAAATTATCATCATATTTTCCCGTTCGTGCCTAATAGCATGAGACGAATGAAGTAGATTTCACCTGTTTCAATTACCTCAGCATACAAGGGTATAGTGTGGGCAGCACAATACCCAGCCTCCTTTGTTTCCCTAACGACAGCCAGGTACCCATCGTAGCTGAGTTGACTCTAGGACTTCATACAGACTCGAGCATGGGATCCTGCTAAACCGTACTTTCGGTTTAGCAGCCTCTTGGCCTCACCATCTCGGGTTTTAACTGACGTACAAATAAAAATTTTCAGTCTTTCTTTTAAACTACCATGTTGTGTAATTACGTTATTTAACACTTACGTCTCCAAATTATCGGATGAAACAAATTTAAATTGGAAGCAGTTTCGAATTATGTAACTTCTTTTTCTTTCAGTTAACGTAACTGGTTTATCTCTCCCTTTACCAATGCCAGTGCCTCCGTTTGTCGCAGGATATTTACCACCAGGTAATATTACAATCCTAGAAAAAAAAAGATCTAGACCAACTTCAACATGAATAAAATATTTTTTAGAATAACTTATTATACGTAAACAATGCTAAATATGTACGTTTCTATAGAAAAAAACTGTATACTTAAACGATACCGAACGTATGCCTATTATCTTGAAAACTTTTTACACAATAGCAAACGTACTAAATATCAAAGATTTCATAGAACACCTATCACAATTCACAACACATTTTTTCGTAAATAACGCATTAATAAGTTGCTTGCATAATCACAACTATAAAATATAATAACGCGTTCTTAATTGTCAAGCTGAAATGTAAATGTTTAAATTCTAATACATTTTTCCATTGCACATTTCAGAGTGTCCTTGCCCAAGTATCAACAGCTGCCAAATGGAGATGTGCCAGTAGGTTTCCTTTTCACTTGATATTTTATAAGATCTAGCATTGAAATTAATTTTTCTTTTTGAGTGTCCTCAGATATCCGTAACTAGACTATTTCCTTTTTAAAATACCCAAATCTTTTGTACCGTTAAGTAGGTAAACGGTAAGAATTCTTAATCTCTCTATTTTTCCTTGGAATAAAGAGCGTTGTTTTTCATTACAAACTTCTATACATATACAGCCCGATTCCAATGGAAATGCCATAGCATTCCTCTACAGCAAAACATTTTAAATGCACTGAAAATAATAAAATAAAACTATTTTGCTTTCTTTCTTGAGATCTTTTACACATGAGTTCCAAGATTTGCCACAAACCCACAAACAAACAAACAAAGAAATAAACAAACAGACGATTCGAACTAAATAAAAGATAGTAAAAAGCTTACAATAAAAATAGAATTGTTCAATATTGTTCAATATCATTTTAAATATTATTTAGTTTTGAAATTAATTATACTTTGTTCCATTTTTAAGGTATATGTTTAAAAAAAAGAGATTTGAATTTGTAGACCCAGTTACCACGAATATTAAATACCGCATATCTTATAAATAACATAATCGTGAAAATGGTGTCGTTAGCAGGACTATCGTTGTCCTGCCAACACTACCGTTGGGTGACTTGCTTTGTTTCAGAGAACTCAATGCGTACATTGTGTGCCTAGAGAGCATCGTAACACAGACCAATTGCGACATCAAAACACGAATGGAAGCGATGAGAAAGTTGAGGTTAAGAGAGATCAAAAACTCTTCACTAAGTTCTTGCATAAGTAAGTCACCTCACTTTACTACACCTGATTTAACCGTACCTGGCCTCACCTTCATTTTACCTTTTACCTTACCTCATCTCATCTCGATTACTATCCATACCTCTCTCTCGTGCTCACTATGTATATATATATATACATATACATATATATATATATATATAAATATATATGTATATTGTTCCTGCATAGGCCAATGTCCTACATTTCTCCACTCTTGTATCCCAGCGGGAGCTAATACAGAGGCGAAAATGTCGTGCAGGTATTTAACATTACACACAGCTATCAACCAATATTTTAAATGTACAAGTTTCAACAGTTATCTTGGCTTTTTTTTTTTTTTCTTGTCTGATATCAATTTCACCAACAATGTCTGCTCAAAGTTTAGTTTCTAGGCTAGATCTAATTAGTTCTGCCTGTTCAAAGTTTAGTTACTGACTTGAATCTAATTAGTTCTATTTCTAATGTCTGATGAAAGTTTAGTTTCTGACCTACATCTAAATAGTTCTACCTCTAATGTCTGATGAAAGTTTAGTTTCTGACCTACATCTAAATAGTTCTACCTCTAATGTCTGATGACAGTTTAGTTACTGACCTACATGTATGTAGTTCTACCTCTAATGTCTGATGACAGTTTAGTTACTGACCTACATGTATGTAGTTCTACCTCTAATGTCTGCTCAAAGTTTACTATCTGTCACACAGGCAATACGCCTCATACCTCGGATGTCTGAAAGCTGTCTCCAACAACCCCAGCTGTCCCCGCACCTTCAAGGATGAGGCGGAGAGGTGGATTATCGTCACTGAGAATATGGAAATCAAGAATCTCTGTCGTGAGTACCATACCTCCTACACTAAACATATTTACGTTTACGTCTGTTTGTATTTATCTGCACTTTAAGATTTTACATTTGAGTTTTAAAAATATGTTAAAATTATCATTGAACCATATATTTCGGATTTTAAAATCTGCACTAAATGCACTTAGTGTCTTGGGTTTGAAAATTTATAATTTATTTACTGCATTAACTTGGCGGAAATAGAAAACAACTACCCCGTAAATACATGTTTGGGCAATATATATATATATATATATGTGTGTGTTGTCTCTGAAAGTCGTCTCGCCCGCGTCCTAAATATTTAGACATTTCCGAATCACCTATTCTAAACGACCCCTTATTTCTGTTCATAATAAACGGGAATACATAAATTAGAGCTATGTATCAACGAGCACTCGAATAAATAAAATAAAATGCAACAACAACCTTTTAGACTAACCTCAGCCAAAACCATCGGCACTCTAAACTGAGTAAATACAACATCACAGTTCAACTGGATAACTACGTACTTTCGATTCTGTCGCTGCGATACTTGACACAATCGATTCTGTCGCTCCGATACTTGACACAATCGATTCTGTCGCTGCGATACTCGACAAAATCGATTATGTCGCTGCGAAACTCGACACAATAGATTCTGTCGCTGCGATACTCGACAAAATCGATTATGTCGCTGCGATACTCGACATAATCGATTCTATCGCTGCGATACTTGACACAATCGATTCTATCGCTGCGATACTCAACACAATTCTTAAAATAGAACATTATCATATATCTTCGTTTAAAAAAATCTGAATATAATTTTGTGTGTAAATAAAAGCTAAATATAAATTTCCGTTGACCACAATAGTCACGTTATTTATTTCCTCTCCCGTTGAAGTTATAAGCACTTTTTCCCTAATTAGTTCTTGTCTTGACCTAATTAAAACTATTCTATACTGATGTTTCAGTTCAAGAAGTGGCTGCGTTAGACAGTAAGTATCTTTGTGTCACTATTGTTAATGTATGTATGTTACATAGTGTGAATATTAAACGTAGTAATCAATTGTTGAATGAGTATTGTAAATATATGTATGTTTCATATTGTGAGTATTAAACTTAGTAATCAATTTGTATAAATATTGTAAATATCTGTATGTTACATAGTGTGAATATTAACTTTAGTAATCGATTTGTATGAGATTTTGTAAATATTTGTATGTTACATAGTGTCCATATTAACGTTGATAATCAATTTGTTTGAGTATTGTAAATATCTGTATGTTACAGAGTGTGAAAATTAACCTTGTTAATTTATTTGAAACGATCATGGGACAATCGAGATTTACAAAATTTGAGATTTTCTGGTCTTAATTTTTGTTTAAACTCAGCATTTAGTACATCCTCAAAAATGTCGTATGATAAGAGTCCGTGTACTTTATCAATGTTATATCACCCTGTAGTGGAATGGGGTAGCTCACGTTACCTAGTGCTTTATCAATGACAGTACTGAGCAGGGGCGTAGCGAGGTCGGATGTCACCCGGTGCGGCACTTAATGGTGTGTCCCCCCCCCCCCCCCCCAGAAGCGAAGCGACCCTTCCCGGGGACAAACTTTCAAGTTTTCGATTTGCACCCTCCCCCTCAAAATTTCAATGTGCACCCTCTCAAGTTTTCAATTTGCACCACCCCCTTTTCAATTTGCACCCCCCCCCCCCCCCCCCTCAAACTTTCGATTTGCACCCCCCTCAAGTTTTTCCCTATATATTTTGCTATTGTTTGCCTTGGTGTCACCCTCCTAAATGGTGTCACCCGGTGCGGTCCGCACCCCCCCTCGCTACGCCCCAAGACCTTGAACGACTCAATAAATGCAGCTGTATCAACGACCCTTTATTTGTCGACGCGTTACACAGGAAAACATAAATTATGAATCCACAAGCACTCCAACAAATAAATAAAATTACAACAACAACTTCTTAGAATAACCCTAGTCGTAATCAGTAACCCTAACCCTTATCCTAACTCCTAACTCATCTGTTGCCCTAATTTATTATAAAGGCCATCGGAACCCCAAGTAAGTAAAAAAAAAATACTACAGTGTGAGCTGGATTGCAAACACAAAATATTCTTGATAGCCACGTACTCTCGATTCTGTCGCTGCGATACTTGACACATTCGATTCTGTCGCTGCGATACTCGACACAATAGATTCTATCGCTGCGATACTCGACACAATAGATTCTATCGCTGCGATACTCGACACATTCGATTCTGTCTCTGCGATACTCGACACAATAGATTCTATCGCTGCGATACTCGACACAATAGATTCTATCGCTGCGATACTCGACACAATAGATTCTATCGCTGCGATACTCGACACAATAGATTCTATCGCTGCAATACTCGACACAATAGATTCTATCGCTGCGATACTCGACACAATAGATTCTATCGCTGCAATACTCGACACAATAGATTCTATCGCTGCGATACTCGACACAACCGATTCTATCGCTGCAATACTCGACACAATAGATTCTATCGCTGCGATACTCGACACATTCGATTCTGTCGCTGCGATACTCGACACAATAGATTCTATCGCTGCGATACTCGATACAACCGATTCTGTCGCTGCGATACTCGACACAATAGATTCTATCGCTGCGATACTCGATACAACCGATTCTGTCGCTGCGATACTCGACACAATAGATTCTATCGCTGCGATACTCGACACAACCGATTCTATCGCAGCGATACTCGACACAACCGATTCTATCGCTGCGATACTCGACACAACCGATTCTATCGTTGCAATACTCGACACAACCGATTCTATCGCTGCGATACTCGACACAACCGATTCTATCGCTGCGATACTCGACACAACCGATTCTATCGCAGCGATACTCGACACAAATTAGTCAACCTTCCGTGTTTGCCTATAAATAAAGTTAAAAATAATTTCCAATTGACCCCAGTTAGCAATTCCCCTTCCGTTTATGGTATAGGCACTTTCTCCCTAATTAGTTGTTGTTGTGAGCTAATTAAAAAAAAATCAATACTGATTTTTCAGTTAAAAACATCTCAGAATCAGTGAATCCATGTAAGTATCTTTGTATGAGTAATGTACATTTCTGTATGTTATATAGTGTGCATATTAACGTTAGTAATCGATTTGTATGAGTATTGTGAATATCTGTATGTTAAATAGTGTGAATATTACGCATTTTGTACATTCTCAAAATGTAGTACGATAAGAGTTTGTGTACTGTGTGAATCACATTGTAGTGGGATGGTGTTGTTAGGGTGGGTGTTGGAAATGTATATTGTCAATGGCAGTACAGTGCGTGTTTATAAATGCAGATCTATGCGTGCATATGCTGGTGTGAATGAAAAGATATCGTTTTTATAGCGTTTTTGTAGCGAAATACAATTAAAATAATAAATTAGCATTCGGTTCTTTCTAACTCAATAGCCGATGGCGGTCCAGCTCCCGAGGGTTGGCATAAGATTACTGGAAAGTGCATAAAGTTAATAGTAGAAAGAAAGCAATATGCTGTAGCGGTTGAGTCATGTTCTAAAATGGAGTCACAGCTACTGACCATTATGAGTGGTGATGAGACTTCTGAAGTTGACAGTAAGTAACTAGATTATTATGGTACCAGCTTGATTAAAACATTTGTAAATAATTAAAGAAGTCGCTTGATTTCATTTTTAGGCCTAAAAGAAATTATTACTAGCGATCCCGTCCCACGCGTTGCTGTGGGCTGATTACAACTTTGCGTTGCCAATCTTGTATTTTTAGACACGTGAACTATTTTTCTAAAAACTGAGTTTAAATGTAAACAAAGCAGGCGCTATATTTCTTGGATCTCGGTTGTTGGGAAGCGGGTTTATCCACGCTATTACTAAGACGCCCCGAGTATACGTTGATCACCCTCAGTAGTATTGAGGCTCCGTCAGTGCACCCCGTCAGTGCACCCCGTCAGTGCACCCCGTCAGTGCACCACGTCAGTGCACCCCGTCAGTGCACCCCGTCAGTGCACCCCGTCAGTGCACCCCGTCAGTGCACCTCGTCAATGCACCCCGTCAGTGCACCCCGTCAGTGCACCTCGTCAGTGCACCCCGTCAGTGCACCCCGTCAGTGTTTCTCCCAGGCATCTCCCCTCAGAAGAGAGTCTACCGCCCCTCCCCCCGAATGAAATGGAATTTGCATAGACCATTTTAATCCGCCCCCACCCCTTTCCAAAAATTTCAAGTGCCTCCCAGGAGAAAAAAAAAATCTAGAAGAAACACTGCGCGTCGTGGCATGTTCTTGAGAGCCACCGGTTACAGTACGCAAAGGCACCGGGTACCCGACCTTGTCTGTTTACTCATTTAATATTTCTAAACAACCAGCTATATTGATACATTTTGGGGTACAAGTTTCCCTTTCAAACCTGACGGTCTATGGGGCAAGTGAAGTAGAGTTCACTTGTTAGAGAGCTGGACTGCCTACCCGTAAGTCTCGAGTTCGAATCCGGGTTCAAGTCAGTAGACCGTCCCTGAGTCCACCCAACTCTGATGGGTACCTAACTCACGTTAGCGAAAGTAAAGGCGGCTGGGCATAGTGCTGACCACACTATCTCTTCATATGCCGAGGTCACAGAAACAAGTGAGATTTTGTGGTAATTTCTATGAAATTAGTTTACTTCTATTTACCACAGATTATCTTACCAATGGAGAAGAAATCAATAGTACATATGTAGGATTAAAAAAAGAAGGCGATCAATGGCAATGGGATTCAGACGATACCAACTCTACTATACAATTTGCTGATTGGGGTAAGTCCTTAGAGAAGAGACGTGAACTAGGCGCATGCTTTAGCAGTGTGTTATATAGATATATCATCTACGTTTTTTATCATTTTACTTGCTGAATGGTCTCTGGTAGTTACTGATGTTTATCTTTCTTCTGCAAATAAAAGGTGTCGAGGCTTCAAATGACAGTTTAAATGAGAGCAACAATTGTGCAGTCAAGGATAAAAGCCTGGGTTTCAAATGGCGCCCCGTCCCGTGTAACTCAGAACACGGTTTCATCTGTCAAAAATCATGCGGTAAGAAATTATGACAGACACATACAAGCCTACCGACTCTTACCTAAGTTAAAATCTTACCAACCCAACCCAACCCGACCCAACTACACCCAACCGAACACAACCCAACCCAATCCAGAAACCAAACCAAACCAAACCCAACCAAACCAATCTAATCATAGATTCACGTTTTTCATTTATCGTTCAGGTGCGGAGCCATTATCAAAAAGTGAGTTGTTTTGTAATTAAAGTTACGTTTTTACAATCTCCTGAAACGTTTGCCAAACTTTTTTAAATTTACAAATATGTGTTATGATTCACCATAAATACTTTAACCTAGTCAAAATTCAACTAACCAAAAAAGTTGTTTTTTTCAATAACAAATACATTTTTTTCCTTTCAAAGGTTCCATATATCAAATTAGAGGTAAACTTTGATTTGTTTCTATTTATTAAAAATTGTAATTTTTTGACAGCAGACTTGTGAACAGATGGACAAACGGATAGACGGACTGACGAGCATGGCGTGGTCAAGCGTGATAAGACGGGACAGGACATTCCACAGGACATGACAGGACAGACTGAAACACAACTTTTGCTTATGTACGCATGTTTTTAGTCATCTTAGCGTTACATATAAAAAACAACTTCTTTCCTAGTACGAAATTATTGCTAAGTAAAGATAGTCATACTTAATTAATTTAATCTTTCGACAGATAAGTTCTATATTGCGAACTCAGGTATGATTTCATTATATTTTTCTGGCTGTGCTAATACTTATTCATACTTAATTACAAGTTTAAAATGTATGTCTAATTATTTGAGATAATGAAAGTGATGAACTAAATAAAAATTTCATGAATAAAAACAATCGATTTTTATTAGGGTGCCGTGTGTACTGGTATATGTGTACTGGTGTATGTGTACTGGTGTATGTGTACTGGTGTATGTGTGTTGGTGTGTGTGCTGGTGTATGTGTGCTGGTGTATGTGTGCTGGTGTATGTGTGCTGGTGTATGTGTGCTGGTGTATGTGTGCTGGTGTATGTGTGTTGGTGTATGTGTGCTGGTGTAAGTGTGTTGGTGTATGTGTTCTGGTGCATGTGTGTTGGTGTGTGTGTGTTGGTGTATGTGTGCTGGTGTATGTGTGCTGGTGTATGTGTGCTGGTGTATGTGTGCTGGTATTTGTGTACTGGTGTATGTGTGCTGGTACATGTGTTCGAGTGCAATATGCTGTTGCATACATGTATACGTTTTATAATGTTTTGATTTTCAGGCTCACCCGCTCTGCGAACGTTGATAAAGCTAGTTAGAGAACAGGAGAAATTACAAATTTTCAAAGGTAATGAACAGTCAAACCAAATTTTAAGTTTTGCACATAATGATAATGCGCCGAGTTATTTCCAGGATAATATGTGGTTCATGTATACCTACATTCAATGCTTATATATATATATATATATATATATATATATATATATATATAACTATGTATATATGTATATATGTATATATGTATATATATATATATATATATATATATATATATATATATATATAGTTATATATATATATATATAGTTTTATATATATATATATATATAGTTTTATATATATATATAGTTTTATATATATATATACATATATATATATATATATATAAATATGTGTGTGTGTGTGTGTATACTAGTGTATCACACTGTAATGTGTTAACGGATATTCTTAAAATAGAAAAAAAATTGTTTAGGAAGGTGCCCTGCTGATCCAAAAGCCTGTGCAGTTACAGGACTAGACAAGTGTTTGTAAGTGAATCGTATCCATTTTTTTTTACTCTTTACTAGCACTCCTGTCCCGCCTTGCTACGATAAAGCCATACAAACAAATGTTGTATTTTTAGACGTGTGACCTTGTGTGGATTAAATGTTATTATTTAAAACCATCAATCCTTCCCTTTCCGCTTTTAACATCATGTGGGTGTCATGTATGTATTAGCGGAGATAAAAGATAGTTCTGGTGTAATTATAGGGATTCAATATGGGATAAAAGGCTTTATAAAGTGTTGGAGGGGTGTGACCAGATGTTGGTTAGTGTCGTGTAAGACAGATACAGATTTTTTTTCAGGGGAAATCGATTCAATATGAAACTGAGTTTTAGAAGTTATTTAAGACCCGAGTTAAAACCCCCTGGCAGATGAGGTTCGTTTCCTAGGGGTCAGCAACCCATCTAGGAGAGACAACTCCGAAATCAAACAACTATTAAAATGGTTAAAAAGCTAGCCTTAAATCTACTACACACTCCAAGTCCCACTACTTGTCAACCTTTTTTCAAATGTGAAATGGAATCGATGTTGTTTTTATCTCTTTCAGAAACGTTCATACTCAATTTGATTGTTTTCAAGAAATTTTAAGAAACAGGAGATGCTCAAAGAAACTTAAAGCATTGAGTGTGGTGATGCTTACGAGTTTACTAAACGAATGTTATCGTAAATATCTTTTTATTCAAATATAAGATGTTAAAATTGGTTTTAAAAATTCGATTTATTCTTTATCATCTGTTTTACCAGCATGTTTAGGCTTTATGAAATTTGTTGTTGTCTAAGTAGTTGCAGATGATGTTTATGAATATAAGGTTCATCCTTTGTAAAGATCGTTACCATGGTTTTTTAAAATTAATTTTAAAATAATTTAGAATTCGCAATATGAACAACTTTCTGTATAATTTTAAATTTTTTTTTTTTTTTTTTTTTTTTTTTTTTTTTTTTTTTTTTTTTTTTTTTTTTTGAAAATCAAACACTTATTATTTGTCGCTTTGAGTTTTATTTTAGTAAATGTTATGCAGAATACATATTCCTTTTATTGAAAGAAACGTGATGTTTTGAAAAATAATGTTTTGCACTAATGGACTGCTAGCATTGTGAGTCGTCCTCCCTCAACACGTTCGTTTTATTTACCATAATGCCCTGAGATTCTATTTGAAAGAATATGTTAGCTACAAATAAAGGGGGAGTAATCTCCCCTAAACTTTCTCGCATATTCTTAATTAATAGCATGGGAATTGCATTTCAATATAGAGGTTTTTTAAATTAATATATTAATTTATTAAATAGAATAAAACCGCGCCGATACAAGAATTAGGCAACCGTTGAACAGTGCGAGAATAAAACAGCGGAAAATTAGTACTTTCTGTCGGAAACACAACATTGACAGTCTTAAGATCATTTACCTATGTATACAATTTCGTTTAACTAAGTGAAATAGTACTCACGTTATTTGATATTTTTACATTTTAGAAACCAGAACTTAAGTACAAATTCATGATATTGGAAGTTACTAAAAAATGAAAGTAAACCAAGTATAAGTTTTGTAACTTATGTATGAAATTTCGTCTACGTAACTTGAACAGTTCTCAAATTATCGTGTTCTTTCGGAAGTAGAGTAAAGCACGACTTCCGATTACCGGAACCATTCAAAACTTGATAGAAACCTGTGCATAAATTGTTCTTAACTTATCTGCTTGTAGGAGCCCGGAGGTAGAGTACGTACCACATCCGATTACCGTAAATCATTCAAAAATTGAAAGAAAGCTACAAATTTGATAAAAACTTATATATAAAATTTGCACACACACGCACACATACATACACATACCCACATAGACACAGACACACACACACAGACGGACAGGATTGCTAAATTAAGTTTTCCTGCCTCGGAAGATAGAAAAACGGCTAAATTTTCATTTTAAAAATCACTATTTAGATTTTCCATGATTACAATGTATTCCTTATATTTCGTTGGGAGGTGTAACCGGCGAAAACTGTCAAAATTTAATTTGTGCACGATTATAGCTCTTTCTTTTCTTACAAGAAAGTGAAAAAAAAAATGAATTGAAATCAAGTTACACAATTTAGCAATACCCTTTGAGAATAACAAGATCTTTAACTATACAAATGAAGACTAATACATTAGCTTTTGATCCTGAACTCATTATGCTTATTGAACCGTAGTGCGCCTACTAAGTATACTGGTCGTGATTATAAAACATGATTGTAATGAGTCTCCTAATTAAACTCTTCGTGTTGACAGCGCAGGACATGAATGTGAACTTTAATATTGAAGTCAATACCGAGCATTGTTGCCATTAAATTATCGTTGTTTCTAGTTTCAGTTTCACACTGTTTTGAGTTTTTTAGCGTTTAAAGATAAGCTTTATTGAACTGGATGTTTAAATATAAAATATAATGCAATCTATTTTTGCCCTTTCTCAGCTCCACAAGCAGGAGGGACTACTATCCCCACTGAGAGCACCATACCAGAAGGTAATGACAAATCTGTTACATATACAGACACCTTTAGATGTCGATGTTGATGTTGATATGCAGATGCATATGCAGACGCAATTGCAGATGCAATTGCAGATGTATATGCAGATGCAGATGCAGATGTAGATGTAAATGTAAATGTAGATATTTATATACATATATATACATACATATATGTATATATATATATATATATATATATATATATATATATATATATATATATATATATATATATATATATATATATTTATATATATATATATATATATATACAGTATTATACACATCAAAGGGCCGGAGTGGTTGAGTCGGTAAAGCTCATGGTTGCTAAACCGAAAAGTCTCGAGTTCGAACCCTCGGGCAGATGAGGCTCGTTAGCTGGGGACAGCCACTCTTCTAGAAGAGACAACTCCAAAATTAAACAACTGCTGCCTTGTAGTTTGTTCTTGGTTGGACAAAGGCTATGGAAGCAAATCCAAAAAGAAAAGCAGGCTGAAATCGGAGTCAATGGCCTCAATGGCGCACAACAAGTTGACACATAACGCTTAATTGTGTTTGAGGCGTGGTCGAGTCGACAAAAAGCTCATGGTTGATACATTCGAACAAATTCTCGAGTTCCACTGGCAAATAAAACTCGATCCCCTTCAACACTAAAAATTAAGAACGAAGAAGAAGAAGAAGATACATATCAACACTTGCTTATACATTCTTACGTTTAAGTACTTTTATCTTTTTTAATGTAGGTCAAACTAAATTATCTCTTAATATATTTGCTACATTATTATACATACGAATACATATACATGCTTCCTAATGTGTGTTTGAATTGTGTTTATCTTAGGTCAAACTGATTTCCCTATAAATCTATATACTACAACAGAGGAAATTTTCAAAATCACAGGTATCTTAAAGTGTTTTAAATGATTTTATTTATTACAATTTCACGTCCGGTGTGAATGCTTATTCATATTTTCTCGCTCCTTATTTTAGTATAAGTATTCAGTACAGGATATAATATCGTAAACTATTTTTGCATTGTGTAAGTTATTTACCAGCTAAATAAAATTTAAAAATACGTTTTTTAGCTGTTGTAGAAATTATCTATGCTTCTTTCTGTTGTTCTTTTGACTGTGAGTCTTTAGCCTTCATTCAAAATATGTATAGAACATTCAAACTCATATCTAGAAGATTAAGTAATTCCCAATTATTTGCTTAACCCACTAGATCTTATGCCACTCTAAAGACCCTCATAAATTTTAAAAATTCAAAACTGTTTGATGATGGTGCCTCATGACATGTAACAGTACTAAACTACTCAAGGATTAGTCTGACGAATGGGAGTGTACTCTCACAGTAGTAGCGACCCATTGCACGTACTTTAAATTTTGCGCCCCCCACCCACATTTATATATGGTTATATACGTCAATAGATAGCCACCTTCCAAAATTATTATAATTATTTTTTTGGAGGGGGGGGGGACTTTTTTACAGTCACTGTCTAAGTCTGTAAAACCTATTATCTAAACTTTGACGAACCCTCCCCTATCTACGCCGCTGTAACCATGGCCTGTAAAACCTATTATCTAAACTTTGACGAACCCTCCCCTATCTACGCCGCTGTAACCATGGCCTGTAAAACCTATTATCTAAACTTTGACGAACCCTCCCCTATCTACGCCGCTGTAACCATGGCCTGTAAAACGTATTATCTAAACTTTGACGAACCCTCCCCTATCTACGCCGCTGTAACCATGTCCTGTACTTTTATTTTTAAATTAGCCTCTTGTAACGCAGCCTATAAACACATCACACATCGTCACAAATCACACATCGTCACACATCACACATCGTCACACATCACACATCGTCACACATCTCACACCTTCACACATCTCACACCTTCACACATCTCACACCTTCACACATCTCACACCTTCACACATCTCACACCTTCACACATCTCACACCTTCACACATCTCACACCTTCACACATCTCACACCCTCACACATCTCACACCTTCACACATCTCACACCTTCACACATCTCACACCCTCACACATCTCACACCTTCACACATCTCACACCTTTACACATCTCACACCCTCACACATCTCACACCTTCACACATCTCACACCTTCACACATCTCACACCTTCACACATCTCACACCCTCACACATCTCACACCTTCACACATCTCACACCTTCACACATCACACACCCTCACACATCTCACACCCTCACACATCTCACACCTTCACACATCTCACACCCTCACACATCGCACATCTTCACACATCACACATCTTCACACATCTCACACCTTCACACATCTCACACCTTCACACATCTTACACCTTCACACATCTCACATCTTCAAACATCGCACATCTTCACACATCACACACCCTCACACATCACACATTTTAAAACATCACACACTTTCTCACATCACACATCTTCACACATCTCACACCATCACACATCACACACTTTCTCACATCACACACCTTCACACATCTCGCACCTTCACACATCACACATCTTCACACATCACACATCTTCAAACATAACACACCTTAACACATCGCACATCTTCGCGCATCACACACCTTCACACATCTTACATCTCAAACATCACACACATCACACACATCACACACCTACAAACATCACACACCCTCACACATCACACATTTTAAAACATCACACACTTTCTCACATCACACACCTTCACACATCTCGCACCTTCACACATCACACACCATCATAGAACTCAATGTATTTAATCGAATCTGTTATCATTTGTGTCTGTTCGAAATCAACTCAGAAATAATAAAGCCGCTGAATTAAGTACGATTGTAGACGCAGGCTTAAGTTTCTCACCTAATATAATCATTGAACTAATTTGCCTTCTAATTCTCTGTTTCCCATCTAATAGAATCTTTGAACTAATAGAATTATTGAACTAATTTGCCCTCCAATTCTCTGTTTCCCGCCTAATAGAATTATTGAACTAATTTGCCCTCCAATTCTCTGTTTCCCGCCTAATAGAATTATTGAACTAATTTGCCCTCCAATTCTCTGTTTCCCGCCTAATAGAATCATTGAACTAATTTGCCCTCCAATTCTCTGTTTCCCACTTAATAGAATCATTGAACTAATTTGCCCTCCAATTCTCTGTTTCCCGCCTAATAGAATTATTGAACTAATTTGCCCTCCAATTCTCTGTTTCCCGCCTAATAGAATTATTGAACTAATTTGCCCTCCAATTCTCTGTTTCCCGCCTAATAGAATCATTGAACTAATTTGCCCTCCAATTCTCTGTTTCCCACTTAATAGAATCATTGAACTAATTTGCCCTCCAATTCTCTGTTTCCCGCCTAATAGAATTATTGAACTAATTTGCCCTCCAATTCTCTGTTTCCCGCCTAATAGAATCATTGAACTAATTTGCCCTCCAATTCTCTGTTTCCCACTTAATAGAATCATTGAACTAATTTGCCCTCCAATTCTCTGTTTCCCGCCTAATAGAATTATTGAACTAATTTGCCCTCCAATTCTCTGTTTCCCGCCTAATAGAATTATTGAACTAATTTGCCCTCCAATTCTCTGTTTCCCGCCTAATAGAATCATTGAACTAATTTGCCCTCCAATTCTCTGTTTCCCACTTAATAGAATCATTGAACTAATTTGCCCTCCAATTCTCTGTTTCCCGCCTAATAGAATCATTGAACTAATTTGCCCTCCAATTCTCTGTTTCCCACTTAATAGAATCATTGAACTAATTTGCCCTCCAATTCTCTGTTTCCCGCCTAATAGAATTATTGAACTAATTTGCCCTCGAATTCTCTGTTTCCCGCCTAATAGAATTATTGAACTAATTTGCCCTCCAATTCTCTGTTTCCCGCCTAATAGAATCATTGAACTAATTTGCCCTCCAATTCTCTGTTTCCCGCCTAATAGAATTATTGAACTAATTTGCCCTCCAATTCTCTGTTTCTCACCTAATAGAATCATTGAACTAATTTGCCCTCCAATTCTCTGTTTCCCGCCTAATAGAATCATTGAACTAATTTGCCCTCCAATTCTCTGTTTCCCGCCTAATAGAATTATTGAACTAATTTGCCCTCCAATTCTCTGTTTCTCACCTAATAGAATCATTGAACTAATTTGCCCTCCAATTCTCTGTTTCCCGCCTAATAGAATTATTGAACTAATTTGCCCTCCAATTCTCTGTTTCTCACCTAATAGAATTATTGAACTAATTTGCCCTCCAATTCTCTGTTTCCCGCCTAATAGAATCATTGAACTAATTTGCCCTCCAATTCTCTGTTTCTCACCTAATAGAATTATTGAACTAATTTGCCCTCCAATTCTCTGTTTCCCACCTAATAGAATTATTGAACTAATTTGCCCTCCAATTCTCTGTTTCTCACCTAATAGAATCATTGAACTAATTTGCCCTCCAATTCTCTGTTTCTCACCTAATAGAATTATTGAACTAATTTGCCCTCCAATTCTCTGTTTCCCACCTAATAGAATTATTGAACTAATTTGCCCTCCAATTCTCTGTTTCTCACCTAATAGAATTATTGAACTAATTTGCCCTCCAATTCTCTGTTTCCCACCTAATAGAATCATTGAACTAATTTGCCCTCCAATTCTCTGTTTCCCACCTAATAGAATCATTGAACTAATTTGCCCTCCAATTCTCTGTTTCCCACCTAATAGAATGATTGAACTAATTTATTCCAGCATCAATATCAACCCGCGACCCTGCCAGTCCCGCCACGCCAGTAACAACGGTGTCCCTATCTCCAGGAGGTATAACAATATCATGGTTCGATCTCTGTACTTGTTGTTAACTAATTGGCTTTACACGGCTATGCTATACTTAAGGGGATATGCTCAAAAGAAAAAAAGTTTCTTCGGGTTTCCATATCAACCGAAATAGTTTTCAAACGCCTTTTTTGCTGTTAAGTACTTTCGTGTGCCAAAAATGGCAAAAGTATTTAAAAGGTTCAGGTTTTAAATTATAAACAAAATAGCTAACAACTGAGTATATCCCTTTATGTACTGGTGATTACATTTTAAAGCTATTTATAATGTAATAGCTAACAACTGAGTATATCCCTTTATGTACTGGTGATTACATTTTAAAGCTATTTATAATGTAATTGCAATAGCAAATCAATAATAATATCATCTAGTTGATTGTAGATATCATGTTTTGTACTAAGCTGTGAATCGAAAAAAAAAATATTTGTGAAACTTCTATTTTCTATTGGGCTGAGTAGCAATACATTTATTTTACAGCCCATTGTAAAACTTCTATTTTCTACTGAGTTGAGTAGCAATACATTTATTTTACAGCCCATTGTAAAGCTTTTATTTTCTACTGAGCTGAGTAGCAATACGTTTATTCTACAGCCTACTGTGATGATCTGTTCAAGCGGTGTGAGCCGACCAGTGCGGAGAGGATCGCTTGGTGCCAGTAAGCAGTAGCAGCTAGAGGTGGTGGTGGTTGGTTGGTACTATTGGGGGGGGGGGGGGCACCAACGCAAAAATCGTAAAACCTACTATCAAAACAGTTTATGCATTAAAAATAATGTAATAGTTGAGAAGAGGGGCTACACCAAACAGAAAATACAAAATTATTGGTGGAGGGGGTGGGGTGACATCCTTAGACAACCAGGTGACGCCGGACCTTAAAAAAGTAAGTTACCAATCTCAGTATGTTCATATCAGTGGCGTAGCGAGGGGGGGGGCAGGGGTGCGGACCGCACCGGGTGACACCATTTAAGGGGGTGACACCAAGGCAAAAAAATAGTAAAATATATAGAGAAAAATAATAATTCCACTTAATTAAGTGATTAATTCGAGTGTTCAATAGTGTTTTAAGAGGTGCCAATCGAAAGTTGGGGGGGGGGGTGCAAATCGAAAGTTTGATGGGATGGGTGCAAATCGAAAATTGAAAGTTTGTCCCCAGGAAGGGTCGCTACGCCTCTACGGTGACACCCGACCTCGCTACGCCACGGGCTCATATATACCTCTGTGTTTTAATTACGCTCGTGAAAATCGAGTTTGGTCTCTATTTGAGAATGCAGCTAACAAGTTTACACAGACGATATCTATATAACGCACTTATAATTGAAGGTTGCGATACCCGGTCAAGCGAATGGACTACTGCTAGTCTGAACTAACAGGCTGCTGAAAGCCGAATCTCTTTAAAGCTCAGACGCACTCATGAATACTTGACTCGAGTCAGATTAAGGATTAACTCATAATCGTTTCGTTCGCATAGGTGGCAATGCAGGTGAAATCTACTTCATCTACCAAATCAAACGTCGGAGTACTTTTTATTTATTTCGAACGGTTTTAATGATGGATTCGTGTAGCGTCGATCACACTTGGCAATACAAAAAAAAAATCTGCATATTTATACATTTTTTAAAGAGGATTTATTATATATTTATCACATAGTATGTTTAGTGCTATTTGAGAAGAATACCTATAGCATGTGCTGGGCGCTTGGAAGAGTTGAGTTTTAATGTACCGAACGGTGTCGTGATGGTAAAAATACCTCATATCATACAATTAAGGTCGCAACTAAATACTATCAACGTACATTTGTCGAGCGAAATTTAATTGCCTCGTATTTTATGTGATAAGATGTAAATACCCATTGTAATTGTATAAACAAGTAATCCATATCTTCATAACCTGATCAGAAATGTAGATATCCATTGGAACTGTATGAAGGGAATATTAAATACTAAAGTATGTAGCGGCGATTCCAGGCAAAGGGCGAGCGATTGGATGATTGAAAATGGCCGGCCTCAGCATTGTCCACGTAAGACAAGACAATAATTTCCTAATTTTCATTTCTGTAACTTGAAAATAATTTAACTAACGTTTAGTTTAGAAATATACAGTTTCCCAGACACAAAGATGTTTTAAAATTTAATGCAATTTTCAATATAACCTTTGTTTTTTTTTACATTTAAAAGAATTATCAATTATTTTATTACTAATAAGATGTTATTAAAACGGCATACATATTGTAAATGTGCTGATACGTGATATATACAAATTTAATTACATCTCTTAAAGATAGCCACTAAGATTAGTTACCAAAGGTTTTTTTTCTTATATATCTTCACTTTTAGATTTTTTAAAGATTTTTCTATTTTTATGAAAATTAAAAAAAAAAATGTGTATGCTCAAAAAAAAAAAAAAAAAAAAAAAAAATAATAAGGGTAATGTTTTATAGAAACAACACGGAATGACAATTTTGAGAAAGTATATATATATATATATATATATATATATATATATATATATATATATATATATATATATATATAGCCACCCATTACATCTGCTGTAATTTGACTATTTTGTCTCTTTCATTAAAATATGTATGTATGCCCCATGCATGTAGATATATCTTTTACTTAATCTAAACAGCAACTACCACAACGGACATACCTGATTCAATTATTGGAAGTGAGTTTTTATTAATGTTAATGTATTATTGTCTTTACTACTTCTGCTTTGTTTTTTTTTTTATTGCAAATGTTTCCTTGACGCTTTTAGATTTTATCTTTTACTGTTTATAACGAGCACTTGTTTCATATATTATGTTTGTCTCCGTTGTATGTGTTATTTTCTTTATTCGATGTAGTGAAACTGATTTTAGCCTTTTATCTATTTGAAAAAACTTGAAGTTGAGGATTTGATATGCGGACCACCCCCTAAATGTGCTGATAGCGATGTCAACTCTGAAACCATTTGTGAGTAAGTATTGGGCGAATGTACTCCACTTTTTCCAGAAATGGTGCGCGGACCTTTAACCACAGGTGCTTTAACCATATTGGCTTTGACCATAGGTGGTTTGACCACAGAGGGGCTTTGCCTATAGGTGTTTGACCATAGGGGGTTTGACCATAGGTGGTTTGACCATAGGGGTTTGACCACAGGTGTTTTCTCAGCAGAGGGTATTTGATCACGTGTTTTTGTGTCTGTATGTATCTACTAGACATACTAGCTTTGCTTAGGTTTTAAAATAAAGAAATTGAGAATTCCAATAATTAATTTATTGGTGATTGGCTATTATGTGGAGTGCTTAATTATTATTATTTTTTTGAATTACTTAAAATATCTGTTGAAAGCTCAATGTTTAGGACAATCTATTTTCCAGTGGAGTGCTTAAGATGCTTTGACCATAGGGGGTCAAACCCCCTATGGTCAAAGCACCTGTGGTCAAAGATCCGAGCACCCTCTCCGTGGCTTTTGCCAACCGGGACCGGCCTTCGTGTTTTTTTGCCCCAAGGCAGGATCCTATCGGACACCCGACAACTTTGCTTTATATAGATAGATGTATGTGTGTATATATTTATGTGGGGGGTGGAGGGTGGGATGGTAGCTGGTACTTATTTTAGACCACAGTAATAACTATAGACCACAGTACTTACTATAGACCACAGTACTTAATATAGACCACAGTACTTACTATAGACCACAGTACTTACTATAGACCACTGTACTTACTATAGACCACAGTACTTACTATAGACCACAGTACTTGCTGGAGATCACAGTACTTGCATTAGACCACAGTACTTGCATTAGACTACAGTACTCAATATAGACCACATTACTTGTATTAGACCACAGTACTTGCTGGAGACCACAGTACTTAATATATAGACCACAGTACTTACTATAGACCACAGAACTTGCATTAGACCACAGTACTTACTATAGACCACAGTACTTACTATAGACCACGGTACTTGCATTATACCACAGTACTTACTATAGACCACAGTACTTACTATAGACCACAGTACTTAATATAGACCACAATACTTACTGGAGATCACTGTACTTAATATAGACCACAGTACTTACTATAGACCACAGTACTTACTATAGACCACAGTACTTACTATAGACCACAGTACTTACTATAGACCACAGTACTTACTATAGACCATAGTACTTACTATAGACCACAGAACTTGCATTAGACCACAGTACTTGCTGGATATCACAGTACTTGTTTTAGACCACAGTACTTGATGAAGACCACTGTACTTGCTATAGACCAGAGAACTTGATGCAGACCACAGTTGTGCTTTAGATCGTATTATTTGATAGAGGGAAACTGAATAGGCAGAAGAAATATTTTTTGAGTTTTAAGTGTAAATATTGTTTTAAGGTGTTTTTAAATACATATACATTTGCTATCACAGAGAAGACAGCGCTGGTAGAGCCCAATTGAAGTGCTTAAATGAAATTATAGACAGAGATTTTTGCTTTCCGAAGGAAGCTGAAACTGCGAAGACAACGAGAATGAGGATCATTGACAACATGCTAGACTTCAACTGTGAAGGTAAAATCTGGACTGTGATATATAAATAAATAAATAAATAAATAAATATATATATATATATATATATATATATATATATATATATATATATATATATATATATATATATATATATATATATATGTGTGTGTGTGTCTGCCAAGAAACGTTAAATATTTAAATTCAGCATATTACACTCTAGTCAATTATAACTGATATAATATAATAATAATATTATAACTGATATAAATTACACCGTTTATACTTTACCTTAATAAAGTATCAATAAAAGCTTGTTCTATATTCATAGCTTGACATGAAATCAAAACAAAATCTGCGTTACTAGATATGAGACATCCTTTTCGATTGCTTTTAAACGTGTTTTAAAGCTGTGTTAATTGTACACATTTTGCTTGGAGTTTCATTGATAACTGTTGAAAGAAACTATTCCCCAAAATAGTATTTTATTGAACATTTAAGATAACAAAATCATTTGTTTTGACTCTTGACTCCAGGATTAAACTATGACTTAGTACGGTTTGTACAGTTTGAGCCCGATTGTGAACAGTGTATCACACTGGGAAGGTCCACCCTGTTCTTCTACTATACGCTTAACACAACTCTAAACGCCAATGGTCAGTGCAATAAATTGTACTTTGATTACTGCAATGGCGACGAGAATGAGTGTGATCAAATTAGCTCCTGGGACACGGTAAGTTTTGATTTTTTATAACTTTTTTTTTATAGGTGGTGAAAGTTGGGGGGGGGGGGGGTATGGCTATTTGTGACGATAGGTAGGGAGAAGGTAAAAATCGTCAAATAAAGTTTTAATTCATATCTCCGTGAGATATACATTTGGAGATCTCAATCTCAGATGTGGGTTGTCCCCCGCTGTGTAAAGCAGACAGTCGTGGGTTGTCAGGGTTGTCTCTGTAAAGCAGACAGTCGTGGGTTGTCCCCCGCTGTGTAAAGCAGACAGTCGTGGGTTGTCCCCGCTGTGTAAAGCAGACAGTCGTGAGTTGTCAGGGTTGTCCCCCGCTGTGTAAAGAAGACAGTCGTGGGTCGTCAGGGTTATCCCTGCTATGTAAAGCAGACAGCCGTGGGTTGTCCCCGCTGTGTAAAGCAGACAGTATGGGGTTGTCGGGTTGTCTCTGTAAAGCAGACAGTCGTGGGTTGTCAGGGTTGTCCCCGCTGTGTAAAGCAGACAGTATGGGGTTGTCGGGTTGTCTCTGTAAAGCAGACAGTCGGGGTTTTCCCCCGCTGTGTAAAGCAGCCGAGGTTATCACTGAGGAGAGGTGAAAATAGGTCACAAAAGAATATAAATATCTATTCAATCATATTAGTCCAATGATCATAAAATAGACCCCGCTTATATACACTTATAAATAGGCCTATATATATATATAGGCCTATATATATATATATATATATATATATATATATATATATATATATATATATATATATATACAAATATATAATTTTTTTATATAGACGACAAATATGTAAACATTTTGATATTGAGAACTTTATTACAACATTTTTATTAAAGAAACTGATGATCTTTCTGTGCGGTAGTTAATCGTAAACATTTTAATTTTTTCTGGGAATTAAACATACGGTTCAATTTTGATGTTTAAGTACTAGAATGGAGTGAATTATTTTAAAGCGCGTAGATAGAAAACGTAACACGAATAAATACATTGCAAGATATGTTGCTGTCAAGGGTAGATAGAAAACGTTGAAACAAAAACCACATGAAAACATATGTTGTTGTCAAGGGTAGATAGAAAACGTTGAAACAAAAACCACATTAAAACATATGTTGCTGTCAAGGGTAGATAGAAAACGTTGAAACAAAAACCACATGAAAACATATGTTGTTGTCAAGGGTAGATAGAAAACGTTGAAACAAAAACCACATGAAAACATATGTTGTTGTCAAGGGTAGATAGAAAACGTTGAAACAAAAACCACATGAAAACATATGTTGCTGTCAAGGGTAGCTAGAAAACGTTGAAACAAAAACCACATTAAAACATATGTTGCTGTCAAGGGTAGCTAGAAAACGTTGAAACAAAAACCACATTAAAACATATGTTGCTGTCAAGGGTAGATAGAAAACGTTGAAACAAAAACCACATTAAAACATATGTTGCTGTCTTAAATGTATCTCAATATTCTACCACTAGGCTTGCACATTCGAGTCTGATTGCTCAGATCTAAAAACGGATCCCAATCTTCGAACCCACCCAATTGAAGCTATGTGTAATATTTGGGAAGATGAAAATACTGTAAAGCAAGTGATTGTGACCATACCAACATATTTATTCAGAAGTGTCAATTATCGTTACCGTGCTCGATTGTCTTCAGACTTCAGTGCGTCAAACAAGAGCGCCATATTCGGCGTGAGCAAATCCTTTATCGTAAAGAATCTAATTGGTGAGTAATTTAATTAGAGTTGTTTTTTTACTTTATCATTTAAGAATGTGTTTGCATGCTTGCATATTAAGCACTGTAAAATAACGAAACTGTTGCTAGGAACTACAAAGCCCACGCGGCGTCACTAGATTGGGTGTCACACGGTTTGGCACCTTTTGTTGTCCCCCGCGCCCCACACTGCATACATATATATATATATATATATATATATATATATATATATATATATATATATATATATATATATATATATATATATATGTATATATATATATGTATATCAAAATTGCATTCGGATTATTTTCTAAGATATATAAGTAAACGGTAAACGGTCTATAACGCATCTGAAATATACTTTATCTGTTTCCTTAACCATGGCATGCAGTGCAATAAATGGGGTATATTGTGATAAAAGTTGATATATATTCTTAGAGCGACCAGCGGCTGAGTTATGTTTGTATTGAAAGCATGTATTTTCTGTCGCATGTGGTATAAGCCTCATTAAGAAATAATTACTAATGGGTAAAATATAAAATTAAAATATTCTCAAAATAAAATTTAAAATAAAATTTATTTTTTAAAAATAAATACTAATACAATTACAGATCAATATTTTTATTTAAGACAGCAATTTATTTTTATGCATTTAAAAGTTTATCATTATAATTTTTCTTAATATTTCTATTATTGTTACAATAAATTCTAATGATTCTGTTACTCCACAGACGAAAACAAGGCTATAGTAGAGCCTAGGTCAACGAGTGGCGCTGATAATCCACATGGTAATTTACTAACTGCTTTACACTTTGTATCTACCTAATTTACTACATTACATTCAATCAATTTCCACAACAATGCCCCATTAACACGCATACACAAACAGGCACATAAACGCCTACATATAGATATAGACCCTGACAAAGATATAGCCTTAAGGGACATATAATTATATTATAAACGTTTATGCAATTAATTTACCCGCGTATGAATACTAAGGAGGTGAATATAAATTTTATAAAAATAATAAGTTACTCTAATTGAAATGTAAACCACCTAGTTAATATAATTATATCTTTCGAACGTTTTAGATTATGACATACCTCTATGTGTCCGTTTACAGTCCTTTAAACGTGTAAATGTAATAATCTCCTTTATACCCGTCTGTAGAAGTTTTCTTAAGACGCCTCTGTTTATCATTTATACCCTTTTGTAAAGGTTTTCTTAAGGCGCCTCTGTTTATCCATTATACCCGTCTGTAAAGGTTTTCTTAAGACGCCTCTGTTTATCCTTTAAACACGTCTTTAGAGGTTTTCTTAAGACGCCTCTGTTTATCCTTTAAACACGTCTTTAGAGGTTTTCTTAAGACGCCTATATTTATCGTTCAAGTGGATTACCCACTCGTCCACATTCCCCACTGCCACGAATATATTTAGCTTTACGATTTTGTCCGTAGATTAAAACAAATCTAATTCTGTATACATTTGTTCTAGTTTTTTTAAAACAATATCCATGAAATCTTATTAATAGTCGTACGCAATGTTGTTACAAATTCCTGTTTTTAAATTAGCTTTCGTTTTTCAGATTTGTCTATCTTCTGGTACATAGTGGTGGCTGCATTGAATGTAGCGGCTTTAGTCACAGGAGTTTGAAGCTCACACCAGCAAGTTTCGGTTTCTGGCCAAGTCTCTCAACATCTTTATAAATTATACTCAATGTTTTTTAGCAGCCCACACGCTGTTTTAGTAATGTATTCTCCTTGATTGGTATATACCTAAATAATACATCCACACCAAATCTTTTGGAAAATTATATCATACAACAAAAACATTTAATTATGCATCAAATAATTTTAAAACTCTACAATAATTATAATAAATATCAACATTGCAGATGTAGATGAGCATAAATAAAAATAAATCTTTGCAATATAATATGGTTTTCGTCCTTTTTAAATGATTTTATTTTAAACACCGAGCCTAGTTCACTTGTAATGCATGTCTTGTTTGTAGATTTCATAATTTATGTTTATGTCCCGATACCGCCTTTACAAATAATAAGTTCCAATTAAAAAACCACCCTGTCTCCCCACCACATAAACAAGTAATATAATCAGGACTATTGGCCTAACCTATTAGAGCGACATGGCCGAATTCAATTACTCCCCCGATTTAACGTAACGTGGCCTGAAATTTGTCACAATTTGAATTATGTCTAATGTGTGTGTAGTGCAGTTGTAACTTAGTTTCATGAAAGTTGCAAGAATAGCGTATAGGTTTGCTTATAGTGGTGTTTTAGGCAGAGAGTTGAGGTCGGCGTGGTCAGGTCGATAAAGCTTATGGTTGCTAAACCAAAAAGTTCGAGTTTGAACACCCGGGCAGATGAGGCTCGATTACTAAGGATAGCAACGTATCAGGGAGAAAAAACTCAAAAACTGTTGCCTTGTAGTTTGTTTATGGTTGGGCTAAGCAAATCCATAAGATAAATCAGGCTGGAATTGGAGCCAACGGCCCATTTTTGGCGCATACCATGTTGACATGTAATGCTAACTTGTGTTGGACTAAATCCCGTTCAACAATACAAGAACAAAGAAGAAGAAGAAGACACGGTGTTGTGTTTAAACGTTAGGAAGCTGAGGGGGTAGGGTGTTGTGCGGCAAATGATTCTGTCCAGAATTAAACGGATTGTCTTGTGAATGTGACGTCACCCCATGTCCTCATAATATAAAATAATTTAAAATATTTTTCTCAATGTGTACCAAAAGAGAAGGATTGCCCAAGGATCACGCACATTCACTATATAACACAAAATATAACGAACTTTATCCGTCTTTTAACACGCACACACACATATATACACACACACACACACATATATATATATATATATATATATATATATATATATATATATATATATATATATATATATATATACATAGACATACATACGGAAAGTGGGTAATACCTACCCTCTAAGGAAAACAAATTAACTAAAAATAGTTTATCTATACCTATTAAGCAGTGTTTATTTTAAACTATAAAAAAATGGTTTTAATGTTGCATTGTTAAAAAGAAGAGTACAGTTATTAAAACAAAAATATAAAAAAATAAAACGAAACTAATTACCGGCATAAAGGTTCGAATTGAAACACTAGTGAACGACTGCTAACCTGAAAGTCTCGAGTTCCGAGTCCATCCAGCTCTGCAGGGTACCTGATTGAAGTTATGGAGAGTAAAGGTGGCTGGGCACAGTTCTGATCACATTAGTCCTCCATATACCGAGGTAACCGAAACATGAACTCTAGTTCCCCTGCATCATGAACATCCATGAGGTCAGCGTTGTCGGGTTGGAAAATCTCAGAATGCTACAGCTCAGCCGTAAAATGAAAAATTGAAGCGTCAGTGTTAGCAGAAGGTCACGTGTGCAGGTAACGGACAGTTGTATGTTAGAAAGCAATGTAGATAGATATTTTTTTTAGGAAATACATGAGTTGGTCTTGGAGATTAGTTATACAGTGACCAATAGCTGTATAGAAAAGAACACATCAATGCTAAAATAGTATCTTTATGCCCTTTGTTACTTTTTAGTTTCGAATGGTACCTTTTTGTAAATTTTTTATGTGGATTATTATGTTTTTCTTTTCTTAAATAATAACACATAAAGACCATGTTTTTGGTCTAGATTGTATCAACTATTCTTTTTTTTACAGTTTGTTTCCCTTCAGTTTTTTTTGTCTTCTATGAAGACAAAATTAAAAAAAAAACACGATTCTTATCCGCCAACAATATCGATGGAAGGATTTCCTTCAACTTCTTCGTTCTTAATTTTTAGTATTGTAAGGGATCGAGCCTTATATGCCAGAGGGTTTGAACTCGAGACTTTTTTTTATTTATCAACCATGATTGATGCTCGTTTGTACCAAATACTTAGCAAGTAAAGAATATTAATAAAATTATACTTAAAACATATTTAAACAACCCAGTTATACCATGTTTATTTACATTTGAGAGATAAAATAAAAAATAAAACTATTACTAAACCTTTGTAAATACAATGGTGACCACGGAGTAGACGAGAATCCGTCCATCACATTGTTGGCATGGATTAAAAACGTGCTTTTTTATTTTATATTTTTAGAATCAATGTTATTAAAGTTGCAAATCCAGGGAACTTGAAAATATTTTTTTTTAGTTCAAGGCTACATTTCTATTTATTTTCATCTAGCTTAAGTTATAGCCTGTTGTTTCACTTTCGTAAGACAAACATTGATTGGCTGTAGGCCTACCGACAGAAACTCAGTGATCGATAGTTATTTGTTTACACAACTTTGCAGATCAAGTTTTTAAATAACATAATGCTATTTTAAACATGACCTAGTTCTGTCGCTTTAGTTTAAATTTTGTATACTAAAACTTATGCTAACCTATCGAATAGCAGTATGTCATTGTTTATGTCACCATTACCACGTGAAAACCAAATTGCTCTTACCTTTTTCAAAATTGTGTTTAATTTACGAAAATACTCAAACGTCAAATATATCTACTCTCTTTTAACTTCCGATAGAAACCAAACAGTCATAACCATACATTTTAATTTCAGCGGGCATGATAATTAAAATGTTTAATGGCCCCCTCAAATACCCTTGAGACTATTCTCACTTGGGTACATTGATGTCAGTAGCGTAGCGAGGGGGGCGGGGGGGGGGGGGGGGGGGGGCGGAGGGGGACATATGTCCCCGGGCGCCAACCTTAGGGGGCGCCAAAATGGGTTGGAAAAATAAATTGAAAGGTTGAAGGGAGTTCGAAACTTTGAGAGGGGTGCAGATCAAAATCTAGAAGGGGGTTGTGCAAATCGAAAAGTTTGTCCCCGGGAAGGGTCGATACGCCTCTGATTGATGTTCTAAAATTATATTCTTAAACTTTGTAACATTTAGTTTTCTAGAAAGCTAATATGAATGACGTTTTTTGATAAGTTAATTTTGAGACATTTAAGACGCCGGCGGTGCGCAAAACCTCTGTAACATGAATTCTACATACTTGGTGCGCAACACCAAAAAAAAGGGAAAATTGATTAAGCGCTAATCTACACGAGATCTGAACATAACGCAACCGCTACGAAATTGAATGTAGTATGTAACCATCAGCACATAAACATGTTGCCTTTTACGACCAATTGCTTAGTTTTCATATCACGGTCGGAATACTAAATATTGATTGTGTACATCGAGCATATAAGCACGCAGTCTTGGGGCTTCTATCATTTTTTTTTCAAGAATGATCCACTTATTGATTATTATATGTTTGGGATTAATCTCAAAGGTTGAAGGTAAAACTGTCTAGACTCTTGAACTTGAATTTTGTAATCTTTAGAAGTGTGAACATCCGCTTTGCTAACGATATCGACCTTGATAAGTGGTTCTAAACCTGGGTTCGATCGAACCCCAAGGGTTTGACGAATAAGTCACAGGTGTTTTGCGGAAGTCATAACTCACGCCCGACTAATGTGAATCGCGATCGGATTTGCGGTGCGAATGATAGAACTAGAGGCAGGGGACGATGACAGTTCAAATACGTCAGTGCGACATAGATGCAGTTCTTGCAATAGCCAAAGCGAGATAAAACATATTGGTATCGTGATATTTCAATATTGTGGATCTCTTGATATCGTGACACACATACGTCAGGACTCGTGTGAACGCCACTTATACAGACGTGTATTAATCCTACATACACTGCTATGACGATCATGCTCAGAGCAAACACTATTTCGTACACCCAGTAGTTGACTTATGACTGCCGCGATGGTGCATCTTGCCATTTCTTCTTTAATATTTTAATTCCCGTATATAAATATGTATAACAAATATGTACAATATGTATTCACACAGTTTCCTCCAGGCATCTCTTCTCTGCCGCCGCCCCCCCCCCTTCCAACGAAACCGGATTTATATAAAAAAATATACTTTCAACAGTGTCGCCCTCCCCCCCCCCGCCCCTACAGGAAAATGTAGTCCGCCCCCCCCCCCTCCGAAAATATCAAGTGCCCCCGGAGAAACAAAATTCTGGAAGAAACACCGGATTCACATATTTTAAACAACATAATATGAGTCAGCCATCTTCTAAAAGCATGATTTGCAGTGCCAAGTGTAGTAATTCTAGTCTAGCACCGGTTAAACTAAGAGAACAATTCCCTGAGCTGCCTGGAGATAATACAAGAACTCTACGCTCCCTGAATTCAAGGTGACGAGAGCCAGACTTAATGCTAAGACTACTCTTCGTGTTCAAGGCTTTCTACCCATTAACACACCGATCCTCACTGTTTCATACTTGATCGCAAACTGTACAAACTACGCACCATTGGAAAAAAATTCATAGAAAGCCAGATGTGTTGAAGTTTGCGAATAATAGGCCAAGAAAAGCGCCTGGAGTTATCCTAAATTTCCTTTCAATTGACACCATCAGCGGCAGATAGAGGACGTAAACATAGACATCTTGGCTCAAGTTGTTGCCGATCAATTCAGACGCCAAACGTCTCCAGTCGTAGACAGCCGATGTGACGAAGCATGTGGAAGATATTGTTTCTGCTATTTATTTGGGCGTTACATCCTGAATTAACACGTCTTAAGGCATCCTACCTGTACTTAAATTTTCATTAGCTGACAGATTAAGAAATGCGGCCTAGAGTGTGATCTAATGTAAGAGTTGTGAATTATTTTTCTACAACAAAACAGAGCATGGACACCAGTTAACAAGCACGTCATTTTATTTCCTCTGCAGCTCAAGGTACAAATATGGGAGTAGAATTTCAGGTACAGTTCCCATACATGCCTGAAGGCCAACCCATCCTAATGATGTACTCAACGATGATGAATAAATTCGATGTTTACGTCACTGCTCCGTTTTCCGACCACCCCGTTTTCGAGAGAGTTCGTATCACCCGTCTTCAGGTTTCCTATTACGTGGTACAGCGGCAACATTTGTAAGTCTTTTCGTGTTTTGTATGTCACTAAATTTCTCTAAGTTGATTTAAAACTCTTGACTGTGGCGATTCAAACTAATTCTTTAAGGCTGTATAGTTTGAAACATAAAGGGTTCTAATTTGCTCTAAAAAGTTGAGCTGTTGCTGTTGAAAAAGTTGGAGATGTGACATCTTGAAATGTCGGAATGTGACTTTTTGAAAAGCTGTACTGTGACTGTTTATAACCGGACTGACTTTTTATAAAGTTAGGACTATGACTGTTTATAACTTCGGGCTGTGAATGTTCGCTCTCTGCTATTGTGTCCCAGAATATCAAGAAGTGACACCACCACGTCTATTGTCGCCAAAGGAAAACAAAGATTTGGGATGACAGTGTTTATGCCGGTGTCGGTCCACTCTGCTGCCAGTTTCCTGGCCATTCCAACTTCCGGTTGGGGCTTGGAGTACTATGTTCTGGTTCCAAAGTAAGTCTTGTTTTGTTTCGTCACACAATAATTTGTTCTGATACCAAAGTAAGTCTTGTTTTGTTTCGTCACACAATAATTTGTTCTGGTACCAAAGTAAGTCTTGTTTTGTTTCGTCACACAATAATTTGTTCTGGCACCAAAGTTAGTCCTGATTTGTAGGTTTCGTCACGAAATTATTTGTTTAGTACCAAAATAATTTCTATTTGTTTGCCTATGGTAAGGAACACTTATAATACCAACAACAATTTCGTTTGGTTAAGGAACGGAACTTTTAGTTATGATTTTTTTTAAAGTAATTTCTTTTGTAGTCTGATTACGACACGGCGCAATTCCCTTTTAGTGCTCTTATTACCTCATAATTTTGATGTTCCTTGTGAAATTATTATATGTAAAACATATAACTGACTCAACTATATTGAAGTTATTGTTAATTACAACATATTTGTACTTTCCATCATAAATTATCGATTTACAAATTGTAAAACAAATTATTATTCGTTTGAAAATTCCATTTTTATCTACAATAGTGTTGATAAATGGCCAGTTCATACTGTGATATCGTCGCCCCTACTCTACAGACCCTAAAATCCAAACCCCCTCACGTTTTATAACCTGACATCCCCGCCCCTACGTTTCACACCCTACCATCCCCATTCTGTATCGCATACTCAAATGATTTACGACAACGTTAACTGGTGTTCATTTCTAACAGGACGGGGCCTTCGATTGTACTCATTTCTTCAGTTGAGGAAAATGAAATCAGCGTACGATTTACTGAACGCATGGAGCAGCTAGAAAGCCAATTCACTGAACCACTTCTCTCGACTCTGATAGTAAATAGGTAGGTAGCAAACCTAGGTAGAAGGCTATTCATAACTTATCCCCCAACAGCCACTACTCAACTCTTTATCTTTTTTAAATGTTTCCAACTATTTTGTATTGGGTTAGTTTTTGATCAGAAATCAGTTACGTTTTTTAGTTTTCCGAAATGTGTATTCTTGGAAAATAAAAATAAGAAGTAGCTGTATCAAGACTGAAATTTGAATTTCCCTAACAGGAAACAGGCGTACATCATGCAGAACTGTACTGGAAGAACAGTCGGGGAACGACCTCTCGGAGGTGAGTACTTCAGTGCCACTATTTAATTTTTTGTGAATCTTTTGACGTATTTTTGGGTGCAGTCTTTAAGTTGTTTTTTTTTTTTTGTGTTTTTTTTTTGTTTTTTTTTGGACGGAGTGGTCGAGCGGTAGAGAGCTGGACTGCTAACCCGTAAGCCTCGAGTTCAAATCCGGGTGCAAGTCAGTAAACCGTCCCTGAGTCCACCGAAATCTGATGGGTACCTAACTCACGATAGGGAAAGTAAAGGCGGCTGGGCATAGTGCTGACCACACTATCTCTTCATATGCCGAGGTCACAGAAACAAGTGAACTCTACTTCACTTGCCCCATAGACCGTCAGGTTTGAAAGGGAAACTTTACTTTAAGTTTTTAAAAATGCTCTCCCTTTTGTGCACGTGACTGTTATATCTTTGGAACGTGATTGTGAATTGTGGACGTGACTGTGACATTCCTGTATGTGATTGTGATGGATCAGTACGTGACAGTAATATTTTGTTTGCGTGACTGTGATACTTGTGTAGATTACACGAATGTAGCAATAGATTGTTGTGTTGTGATTTAGCTAACGCTCGTGACTTTAGACATGAGTACCCAACACCAGACATTCCTTGCCTATTGGATCTCTTAGCATCATTTTGTCGGTTTTGTATCGTGTGTATTTTTGTATTTGTGCTGTGATAGGTATGTTTGTATGTGCACCGTGATACTTTTGTGAGATGTTCGTCTGTGTAAAGTGACATTATTCAGGCTTACGTGCAATAAACAGCCCATTAGTTTCTTGTGCTCTTGTTAAGTTCGGGTGTATTTTTGTGTGTCGTGTTCTTAATAGATCTATAATTAAATGTTCAGACGATTAACAAAGTTAACCATTTTTCATCTTAACAGTCACACCAGTAAAAATAACAGCGTTGTATTCATTTGGCGTTATTGTTGGCACTTGCGAAGAATACGAATTCGAATCGAAATGTCAGAGAAAAGGTGTAAAAATCGCAAGCGGCGTCACTGCAGGTAACATTACACTCACACGCACGCACACGCATGCTCACACACACGCATCGCACACACACACACTCACAAACAAACGCACATGCAAACACATATAGCATATGTATTTATGGTAAAAGTACATACTCTTTTGGACCAAAGCTTCTCAGTACAAAATGTATCACGAAGATCTCAGGTCAAAACGTTTCAAAAGACATAATGTGTAGTAAACATACACATATAAGATGAGGTTTGATTGTATGTATGTTTCAGAAATGCTTTTGCCCGCAAGGACTTGGGGAAAACATTTTATAGTGCCCCAGACATTGAAGAAATCTTGTAATCAGAACTTACGATTCCTAACCTTGGAGGAAAACACAATCATACGAATAACAGCGGGCGACCAAACACAAGTGGTCAACGTTGCTGCCGGAGGTGCCTTGGAGGTGAGTTGTTGAGCTTCACTACATTCTGCAGGTGAGTTGTTGAGCTTCACTACATTCTGCAGGTGAGTTGTTGAGCTTCACTACATTCTGCAGGTGAGTTGTTGAGCTTCACTACATTCTGCAGGTGAGTTGTTGAGCTTCACTACATTCACCAGGTGAGTTGTTGAGCTTCACTACATTCTGCAGGTGAGTTGTTTAGCTTCACTACATTCACCAGGTGAGTTGTTGAGCTTCACTACATTCTGCAGGTGAGTTGTTGAGCTTCACTACATTCTGAAGGTGAGTTGTTTAGCTTCACTACATTCACCAGGTGAGTTGTTGAGCTTCACTACATTCTGCAGGTGAGTTGTTTAGCTTCACTACATTCTGAAGGTGAGTTGTTGCACCATATTCGTCTCATTAAGACCATGTCATGTTGTTTGCCCAGACCTATCGCTTGACCTCGCAATCAATCGTGTTCGTGAAGGCTTCCAGCCGGATCATGATGTATAGTGACTACCACTACCCTTGTAACACGGAGGAGAATATTAACTTTCAAGAGCTGGTCGTGGTTGTTCCAGCCGAGGTCTTTATGAATGAATACATTTGGAGGTGCGCTAATGTTTTTAATGTTTACACATTTATACCAATGTAAGTACATCCGTTCATAAAAAATCTACACATTTATTTATATATCTATCTATCAATGTAAGTAACTAGCGTTATGTAAACGTATTTTGAAATTTGACCACATGTTAATAAGATTTAACTTGCGTTCGCAGCACTCCTTTAGCCAGAGGTCACACACCATCTCACTACATCTCGGTCGTAGCACCAATCGATAATTTTTTCCTAGAAATCGACACAATAAAAGTCAGGTAATTGCGATTAGTATTAGTTAAGTAGGTAAAAATTGAAGTATGAGGTAATCACGAGGTATTATGTTTATTAAACAGTGAGACTAAGCATTAGCGGGGAGCGCTCAGAACAGATTATTAGTTTGATTATTTATTTAAGCTAAGCATGAAGTGGTTACCCTAAGCATGAAGTGGTTACACTAAGCATGAAGTGGTTACCCTAAGCATGAAGTGGTTACCCTAAGCATGAAGTGGTTACCCTAAGCATGAAGTGGTTACCCTAAGCAGGGAGTGGTTACCCTAAGCATGAAGTGGTTACCCTAAGCATGAAGTGGTTACCCTAAGCATGAGGTGGTTACCCTAAGCATGAAGTGGTTACACTAAGCATGAAGTGGTTACACTAAGCATGAAGTGGTTACACTAAGCATGAAGTGGTTACCCTAAGCATGAAGTGGTTACCCTAAGCATGAAGTGGTTACCCTAAGCATGAAGTGGTTACCCTAAGCATGAAGTGGTTACCCTAAGCATGAAGTGGTTACACTAAGCATGAAGTGGTTACCTTAAGCATGAAGTGGTTACCCCAAGCATGAAGTGGTTGCCCTAACCATTAAGTGGTTACCCTTACCATTAAATGGTAACACTCTGATTTTGTTTACCTTGGAGCAGCTGTCAAAAGTATCCAGCTTTGAAAAAAGCGTTGCAAACCTTGCAATGGTTTTGGTGGGTGCTCTGATATCATTGGTCTGGGGGTTTGGCAATTTAATTAGGGGTGGGGGGATAAAATCAGACACCATTAGCAACAGATTAGAGGACATAAACGAAGACATCTCGTACATTAAACTAAAGCGTACATTCGACAGAATCAGCGTTCAACAATGTGAGTTTTTGTAGTTGAAAGTCATGAAAAAACACCGAAAGATAATATTTGACAGCTTTTTATTGTTTATTTTTAAACTATTGTATTCCAAATTTAGCTTAAGGTGGAAGAAAGACATGCTTAATCGCTGGCAGACGTCATTCTCCAGACTGTCACCCGGTACCCACTACATATCGTCAGTAACAGGAGTTCCATTCGGAATCTACGTCGTCGGCCTTACCCCGGAGTACCAGTTTTTCCATTCGGCAGGCTTTTTTATTTCTGACTTCAGTGGGGTAAGTGCCGGCTTACTTTTATATTACTGACTTCAGTGGGGTAAGTGCCGGCTTACTTTTATATTACTGACTTGAGTGGGGTAAGTGCCGGCTTACTTTTATATTACTGACTTCAGTAGGGTAAGTGCCGGCTTACTTTTATATTTCTGACTTCAGTGGGGTAAGTGCCGGCTTACTTTTATATTACTGACTTCAGTGGGGTAAGTGCCGGCTTACTTTTATATTACTAACTTTAGTGGGGTAAGTGCCGGCTTACTTTTATATTACTAACTTCAGTTATTCATAAATTCAAACATTTTTAAAAGCCGCCTTTAGTCCCAAGTAAATTGTAGTGGCCAGGGAAAGTAAAACAATGACAATCTCAACTGTTTTCCATGGTACAATACATTATAGAGGGCAATGTGGTATGGCCGGGTAGTTTATTTATATAACAAAATAACATGCCCAATCAATACAACAACCTGCCTTGACAAATCCAAATTTAAAATAAAAGTTATCAGATAACGTACTATTATACTACTATAAATTATTTGAATATTTCTAGCCTTAATAAAACTGGAAGTCATTTTGTATTAATTTCAAAAATGGTGTAAAACTTTTAATTTTGGTTGAAAGATATGCTCTTTGGCAACAGCCATTTGGAACCATTTAGAATCAGTTTTTCAAGCCTATTATCGATGTGAAAAAAAAGTTTATATTCCGCAGGCTTCATTAAATCATTAACATGTCTTAGTAGGCTTTGTAAAAATCTATTACTTTGTCTTTGTCATATCAGACTTGTCTTCTTAGAATAAATCTTGTATAATATCGTTTTTATCATATCATGCATGCACTGTTGTCTTTGTAAATGACATGCATTTTATCGTCTTTGTAAATATCATTTATCTATTGTCTTTGTAATCTCATTCATTTGTCGTCTTTGTAAATAGCATTCATTTGTCGCCTTTGTAAATATAATTAATTTGTCGTCTTTCTAAATATCATTCATTTGTCGCCTTTGTAAATATTCATTTGTGAGAAGCTTCTAGAAAACTGTAGACCAGTTTGTAACTAGCGTTGCAAACTCAGTACACCGGCAATGAAACCGATCCAAGTGTTCAACGACATACACACAGACTGATATGATAAAGTCCTTATTACGTTCTTGTCCATGGGATTTAAGTACGACGTTCAAACATGTGACGCGGAGTGCCACCGAATAATGTTTACCCCCCCCCCCCCCCAGCCGGGTGAAATAGAATTCATGTTGAAAATAGAAACCTATTTTCTGTGTCCCCGCCCCCAAAAATGTACAGGGAGAAAAAAGTTTGAAAGAAGCACTGTTGTTTTCAGGTCAAAGTATTTCTATGTTTATCTCCACAGCTGTGTGAAAAAACGACGAATCGCTACAACGATGGGATAGATAACGATTGCGATGGCTTTATTGACGAAGAAAGAGAGAATGTTAAAGGTACTATAATTAGGCCCACCATCTGTTTACCCCTTACCTTAGATATACATTAATTAATTCTTATATATATATATATATATATATATATATATATATATATATATATATATATATATATATATATATATATATATATATATATATATATATATATATATATATATATATAGTGACACCTAGATTTACAAAATGCATTCATTCCGCAACTTTTCTCATATGTCAAATTGCTTGTACCTCAAAGCAATCTTCCCATTTGAAATTAGTTAATGCGATTAATTCGTTCCAGTCCCCCTAATGCCACGCCAGTTGTTTTTATTGCACAAGTGTTACACTGTAAATTACACAAAAACTAAAAAAAGAGCAAGTTAAAAAATAAACGAGTTTAAAACTGTAATCGGTAAGGGTGTAGGAGTTTCGCTTCTTGTACTTACAATGTTTATTGTTTCCTATGGTCTAAAAATAAGTTGTCTTTTAGTCTTAAACATTTTTTTTTTGCCTGTTAGTTTTTAATAAGTTGTCAAAATACAATTGTTGTGTGCTGGTTGCATGCTGTTCGATGCACTCTACTTCTGTGTTAACAGATGATGACCACGATGGGGACGAAGATGAAGATCTCTCGTCGTACGCAAGAAGTAAGTCCCAATTGTACCTGACATAAACAAAATATTTTGGCTGCAATGATCTGAGTCCCCTTTATCCGTTATAGCACTAAATGTACTGCCCAAAACACAGATCTTAGAATCAAGTTCGATCTATTTAACTCCCTTTCTCTTTTAGCCAACCTGGAGGGCATATCTTTACCGCTACCACCACAAGTACCCCCATTTGTGACTGGATTTTTACCTCAAGGTTAGAAAAGTTTAACATTATTAAAAATATTTTTCTTAGAATATTTTATACGCCCTACTTTTAATATATTTAAACTGTGTATATTTTTAAAAAATACATAACATAGTTCAATAATACTAACTTGTAAATCTTCAGTAATAGAATTATATAATATAATGTAGCGTTCTATTTTTAAATAATGTAATGAAACAGTTATATTCTGAGACATCTCTCTGAAATTTTTAGACTGCCCATGTCCAGAGATTCAAAACTGCGAAATGGAGTTGTGCACGTAAATTCTATTTTCAGTAGATATTTAATACTTACCTATTTGCTAATGTTTATTATAAGTACAAAGATTTTTAAAAATTACAATTGATTATTATTTTTTTAATTACTTCATTTTTAAACACAAACTTTTTATTACAGGCGTACTTTTTTGTAACATGAATTTGGTAATAAGTTTTGTAATTATCCGAATATTTATTAACGCTTACAAATTAATTGAGAATAAAGGTAATATTTTAAAATAAAATGAATGGAGATAAAAATTGGTAAATTTTCGATACTGTTTCAGTGACCTTACTAACTACGTCGTATGCCTAGAGAGTATAGTGACCTTGACCTCTTGCTTTATACAAACCCGTATGGAGGCTATGAGAAAGTTAAGATTAAAGGAAATAAAAACTTCATCGCAAAGTCATTGCTTAAGTAAGTAGCCTAACCTAACCTAACCTAACCTAACCTAACCTAACCTAACCTAACCTAACCTAACCTAACCTAACCTAACCTAACCTAACCTAACCTAACCTAACCTAACCTAACCTAACCTAACCTAACCTAACCTAACCTAACCTAACCTAACCTAACCTAACCTAACCTAACCTAACCTAACCTAACCTAACCTAACCTAACCTAACCTAACCTAACCTAACCTAACCTAACCTAACCTAACCTAACCTAACCTAACCTAACCTAACCTAACCTAACCTAACCTAACCTAACCTAACCTAACCTTATATATATATATATATATATATATATATATATATATATATATATATATATATATATATATATATATATATATATATATATATATATATATTTGCAGAACAGTGTCCTTCATTCCTCCATAACTGCATCCCATCTGACGTAACAGAAGGAGACTCAATGTCATGCAGGTATATTACACACAGCCAATGCATCGAAAATGTTAAAATTTAGTATTTTAAATTACGTTGTTTTAACACTTATGTAATTAGAGTTTCTACCGACCCCCCCCCCCCTCCCCCCACTCCTGAACGAAATGGAATTTATAGAGAAAACATATACTTCTACCAGACCAGTGTCGCCCCCCCCCCCCCCCCCCGGAAAATGTTGTCCGCCCCACCCTCCCACCCACGAAAAAATCAAGTGCCCCGGAGAAAAAAGTCAGGAAGAAACACTGCATGTAATACACTGCCCTACCTCTAATGTCTGCTTAAAGCTTAATTTTTTTTTACTACAGTCAATTACAGAGTTACCTAAATTGTCTGAAAGCAGTCACCAACAACCCCAGTTGTTCACGTTCGTTCAAAGATGAAGCGAGGAGGTGGATTACCAGCACCGATAATATGATTGGAAAAGCACTCTGTTGTGAGTACCATACTTTCTTCTGCACTAACAGAATTTATGATTCTGCACTTTTGGTTATTAACAACAGTGCTATAAAGTTAAGTTTTTGTTTCCAACTGCGCTGCAAGTTTAATGATATAATGTTAGGTCTTGGATTGCCTTTATTTCATGTATCATCAGTTTTCTCTATGCGCGCTCAATAATGATCCTTGACTTTAAATTATGCTTTTAAAATGTTTTACAACAATATTGCGAACGTGTCGATTGTGTGAAACTTGAACAGTATCAGGAATTGATACAGTTTATAACTGATCAACAGAATGTCATCACCAAATTGTTTCTTCATATTTTCCTCGATTAAACGTTTCAACTCGCTGCTATGGCATTGCAGCCTCAACAGCCCACCCCACTCACACCCTATCCCGCCCCTGTCCATTTTATCATTCCACCTTTCACCTTTCACCTTTCACCCCGTCCCTAGTTGCTTTTTCCAAAAATTCCATGTTAATATTTCAGTGGAAGGGATGACGACGGCTTCACGTAAGTCATTTTCTATAAGTATTTTACTCATTTTTATAAGTACTTCCGTAATTTTTATCGTAAACATGGTTGAATATACGCCTGAATATTAATCTTTGCCATTGGTATAAACGATTAAGTAGCCATTGATTTTACAGTAAATTTATAAGATTCTCTCTTATCAATTTATTAAAACCCAGTATTTGGTACATCATTGAAATGTATTATCAAATGATGTTGTGGTCTATTTAAATGTTAAATGACTTCGCAATGGATAAGTATGGGAACATATGCATAGTGTGAGAAATGATCACTTTCAATTATTGAGCAGCCTAATCGAGACCATGAATATATAATTATTATTAATAAGCGGGTTTATGGGTGCCAGTGTCTCTGTGTAAATGAAAGCGTATTTTTTATTTCGTTAAATTATACGAGATAAATTTACAAATCATATGATTTAAGTATTTATGATTTATATGATTTAATATACCCCTGAATATTAATCTTTGCCATTGGTATAAACGATTAAGTAGCCATTGATTTTACAGTAAATTTGTAAGATTCTCTCTTATCAATTTATTTCGTTAAATTATACGAGATAAATTTACAAATCATATGATTTAATTTTCCGAACTTACTGGCTGTAGCCGAAGATTGGCAGGAGGTTGCTGGAATGTGCTTGAAGTTGAATAAAGCAGGAAAGCAGCACCATGAAGCGGTGAGAGCGTGTTCAAACATGAACTCAGAGCTCGCGACCATAATGGATGCCAATGAAAACCTGGGTGCTTCTGGTAATTATTATAGAACTAGCTTGATTAAAATAATTCTAAAAGATTAAAGAAACAGCTTGGTTTAAGTATGTGTAGCTTATTGAAGTAACAGCTTGTTTACAATACTTGCAATTTATTATAAAACCCTGCATGACAAGAATGCTACTAAATTATTCAAGGACTAGATTGATTGAAGATAAATAATATTAGAATAAAAAAAACGTATTAACATGTAGGTTAATATACTTTGAGAATATTATAGAAAGATCAATTAAAATATTCTTCATAATATTATATAATCACACAGCTCCATAAAATAATTCTATAACTGAACAAGCGTTATAATAGGTTGTTACAGATACTGCATGGTAAAATACTATTTCTTGGTTGAATTCTGACCCATGTGATTATAATACTTTTAAAATAGTATACAACGTAATTAATTACTAGTTAAATCAATACTTATATTTAGAAGAATATTGGAGATTTAATTACCAGGACTGTATTTTTAGTTGTTTGTTGCTTGTCATTTTTACTTTCACGTGTACGAAGCACAGAGGAAATATTGTAATCGTGCAAAAAGTCGAAATCGATATTTGTAAAATCGAGATTTTTGAAAATCTCGATGTTTTACAACTACCTGAGTCGGAAAAACGTAGTTTTGCAATTCTGTCCTTATGTCTGTTTGTGTGTGTGCGTGTGTGTGTGTGTGTCTGTCTTTCTGTCTGTGAACATGATAACTCGGGTACCGTTACAGCTAGATTTATGAAATTTCATACATAACTATTACATGAAATCTGCAGTTATGGATCAACTTTTCGGCGATTCTACATTTGATTTCTCAAAAGCCTATAACTTGAGTACTGATTCTAATAGATAGATGAAATTTTAAATATAAGTAAAAGATCTAAAATTCTGTTGTCTGTCGAATTTTGAGTAATTTTCGGTGTCCAAAAATAATACTTAAAACACTATTTTCGATTTTTTAAAAAAACGCATATAAATTCTTAAAGTACTTATGTTTCACACTATTATACACACATTGTTTAATGTTCACGTAGTGGGAATTCATTTTTCTACGAGTTTCTATTTAAAAAGTTTAAGTATTCAAAAATTAATTTTAAAATGTGTCTATATTCCTAGATATGTAATGTTATGTAAGAATATTCTAGAAAATTCAAGTGAGATCACTAATGCTTTTTAATTACTTGCATAGCGAATCCCGCACATCATGCAGATGTCGAAAAGAAACCCCTTTTCGCAATGGAATAAGAGTAGACCAAAATAATAAATGATGTTATGTTGAAGGAGCCGAAACGTTTAAGGGCATTAAAATAGGCAACAATGATAAGAGATTTTTAGCTTTACGATGGAAGGCGGAGGGGAAGAAAGAAAATATTTCCCAAAATATGTTTAAATTACTGAATCCTCTTCCACGACTTTTATCCTCTATTAGACAGACATCATGACAGTATCGCTAGTTTCAGCATTGACAGTGTAACTGTCTGGAAATACATCAAAAGGATGTTATGTACTGCGGTGGACTTTATGTTTATTTTTTGTCCTTTCAAAAATCAAGTAGGCCTATAGGAAATGGAACCAAATATGTGTTGACTTTTAAATTGTTTTCAACAGCGGCGCTTACAACTGGTGCAGTAGATTCTGCATATATAGCATTAACATACATAAATGGGCAATGGTCTTGGCCATCTGGATTACAAAATGCATATAGAAACTGGAGAGAGGGTAAGTCCATTAAACTAATCAAAGATTTAATCTATTAAACTGCCTGAGCAGTCTGTTAAATAGATACATTATCTAGTCTGTTAAACATATATTTTATCTTGTCTTTTAAACAGATATATTATTTGGCTTAATTATTTACGTTTATCGTTGTTCTTTCAAATGAAGGTCACGTAAATAAGAATAATAATACAGCTGATGATGGAAAAAATTGTGCAACTATAGATAAATCTGTCGAATTTAAATGGGTCGCCGTCTCATGTAACACAAGTCATAGTTACATGTGTAAAAGACAATCATGCGGTAAGAATTATAACCTAACCTAACCTAACCTAACCTAACCTAACCTAACCTAACCTAACCTAACCTAACCTAACCTAACCGAACCTAACCTAACCTAACCTAACCTAACCTAACCTAACCTAACCTAACCTAACCTAACCTAACCTAACCTAACCTAACCGAACCGAACCTAACCTAACCTATCCTAACCTAACCTAACCTAACCCACCCTAGCCTAGCCTAGCCTAGCTTAGCCTAGCCTGTCTTGCCTTTGCATTGGCTTTGCCTGCCTTGCTTTGCCTTACCTATATTAATAGGTATTATATACTTAGTAGATGTATATGTGTATGTGTGTGTATGTGTGTGTGTATGTGTATGTGTATGTGTATGTGTATGTGTATGTGTATGTGTATGTGTATGTGTATGTGTATGTGTATGTGTATGTGTATGTGTATGTGTATGTGTATGTGTATGTGTATGTGTATGTGTATGTGTATGTGTATGTGTATGTGTATGTGTATGTGTATGTGTATGCGTATGCGTATGCGTATGCGTATGCGTATGCGTATGCGTATGCGTATGCGTATGCGTATGCGTATGCGTATGCGTATGCGTATGTGTGTGTGTGAGTGTATGTGTGTATGTGTATGTGTCTGTGTGTGTGTGTATGTGTATATATATATATATATATATATATATATATATATATATATATATATATATATATATATATATATACATACATAAATATGTATATATATATATATATATATATATATATATATATATATATATATATATATATATATATATATATATATATATATATATATATTTATATATATATATATGTATTCAATTATATGTGATGAATGTGTGTATGTGCACAAACATATACTGTCCAGTATTTGTTAGTGTTTTAATTAAATATATGATAATGATGTGTACCTTTGCTTCATTTATTGTGTAGATGCAAGACCATTAACAAAAAGTGAGTTATTTTGTTTTGAAACTATCACTTACAGGCAAATTTTTTTTTTTTTGTCTACGTTAGGGGTCATCCATTTATGGCGTCCACAATGGGGGGGGGGGAAGGGTCGAAAATACTTACATTTGATAATTTAAAAAATAAATTTAAAAAAATGCTCATAAAATTTAGATTATATATTAAATCGGCTGTTCTCGTGTTAAATGTATCAGTAATGTAGCTCTATACCCCGCCTTAAAAAGCGAGTTTATTTTTTTTTTACAAGCAGTGGCCGCGGCAATTTTCTAAAACAATTCATGGAATTTCAGGTTTATTTTTTAAGCAATTCAAACTATTTCAACTAAATCATAGTCGGTCTACGTCATTATTTTGTGCCAAAGCCTAAGATGTTGTAGATCTAGTCATTTTATTTTCAAGTAAAAAAATCAAAATAACGACGTCACAATTAGATATTTAAATATCAGCGCGTGTATAATGGGCTCGCTTGGTCAGGTGTGTAGGATTGAGGGTTAGCGCGACCACAAAATAAAGGGGGAGGGGTGGTTTGTTATGGAAACGCATGCAGCGTAAAGTTGAGTAAAAGTAATATAATGAAGACACGTTGATTAGCCGAATTTACCAGAAGCCATATAATTGTTGATAGCTAGACAGCCACAAATAACAGTAAAAAGTTCGGTCTACAGCATTTTCAATTTAAAAAATAATTACGAATGCCTGCTATCTCTGACTCCTTATAAAAAATAGTGAGCAAAAAAGCCTTTAAAATTGTAAGACAAGGTACTCATCGTCCCAGCGCAAGCAATCTTTCAATAAAGGACAACTTTAGATAGTCTTAGCACATTTACACGTTAAGTTTATACGCCGTAGACTTAGGGACATCTTGGAAAAGTTTAATTCCCCATTTTTATTGAGGTTCTAGTTATAGATGTTACCGAAAATATAAAATCCATACATTACATTATCAGTTAATGTACACATTGCATCAGAGGCGTAGCGACCCTTCAGGCGCCCGGGGACAAACTTTCGATTCCCCCCCCCCTCGAACTTTTCATTTGCACCCTCCCCTCAAACTTTGAATTTGGCGCCCCCCTCTAAGGTCTGCGCCCGGGAACATTTGTCCCCCGCTCCCGCCCCCTCGCTACGCCTCTGCATTGCATGTAAATGAGGTCTACTAAATTTTTGTGGACGTCCACAATTGGTGGTGAGGAAAAGGTGGGGGGGGGGGGGAGGCGTTTGTCGAAAGTAGACACGTGTGGACGGGGGGAGGGTGGGGTGAAGGATCTAAAATTCCAGAGTTTTATGGTCTTCATAAATGGAAACCCTTATTGTTTATTTTCTCGGTGATTCATTACGTTTAACATATCTATATATCAGTGTTTCTTTCAGCCTTTTTTTATCTGTGTGTGTGGGGGGGGGGGGGGCTTTATTTTTCCGCGGGCGGACACTGTTAAAAATATTTATTTTATTTTCTATATAAATTTCATGCCTGGAAGAAACTCAGCTATAAATATATATATATATATATATATATATATATATATATATATATATATATATATATATATAGGCCTATATAATAAATATATTTATACAAATTCAGATTAAGATATAGAAATAGAACAGATACAGATACAGTCATACAGATAGAGATATAGTGATACGGATACAGATACAGATAGACACAGATGCCGACACAGATACAGATACTGATATAATTATACGGACTGATAGACGGATTGACGGATGCAGGAATGGATGGAGGAATGGATGGTTTTACTGACGTAGTGTTATTACATATAGCGCTGCTAAATACAGTGAATTTAATAGTAATCGCTTGAATTTAATAACGCTTTAACTATGAGGTATAATGCCTTTTATTACATCTCTCAATAGATTCAAATTATGATTTGATCTCAGGTAAGGTTTCATTCTATTTTATTTTTGCTGAATTAATACTAATTACCACGAACGATAACTTTGCAAAGCTCGAAATGATTTTCTATGCTTGTAAGAGAATGTATGGTATTATAAATGCACAATTTAGCATTTAACAAACTTGAAAAATATTTAACACATCTACACTACATCTATTAAATAATTTTCTCATTAAAAAAAATGGCTGAAAAATGGCTAAACTGGTGCAAGCGTGTGCAAGTTAAAAAAGAAACTATCGTCTTGTAAAGACATCTGCTATTGTGTTTCAGGCAATCCCGGTTTACCAATGTTGAGAGACCTAAAATCGGAAGAGAAAGATCAATCGATATTAGCAAAAAAAGGTAATGCCCAATCAAAACGCATCTTAAAGCATGGATATTTTACTCGATAACATTTATATAGCTACACACACACACACACACGCGTCTGTGTGTGTACCTGAAATAGTGTTTATATGTTCCTTGACCTCGGCATAGAAAGAATGGTGTAGTCAGCACTATGCCTAGACTATCACTAGCTGGGGTCAGGTACCCATTAAAGCTGGGTGGCCTCAGTGGATGTCATGCAATCTCCAGTCCAGACAGAGAACAGCACGGAACATATTAGCTCTACTAGTCGCTCTATTTGCCTACCAGACCATCCCTAGAGTATATGTCACGCCCTCCATCTACATCTAAATCTACATCCACATCTACATCTACATCTACATCTACATCTACATCTACATCTACATCTACATCTACATCTACATCTACATCTACATCTACATCTACATCTACATCTACATCTACATCCACATCCACATCCACATCCACATCCACATCTACATCTACATCTACATCTACATCTACAATCTACATCAACATCTACAACTACATCTACATCTACATCTACTTCTACATCATTCTACTTCTACATCTGCATCTGGATCTGCATCCAGATCTACATCCGCATCCACATCATATGAATATGAATAACGATCGAATTTAGTCATTGCGCAAGATAGAACTATTAAGAAGAGTTCGGTGAATGCGCATATAAAACTGATGGGGTTCGGTACCATCAAAGAAGAACCACTGCTCAGGATAAGCACACGAATGTTCATAAATTGTTGACTTTTTTATTTTTTAGGAAAGTGCCCATATTTTCCAAGCACGTGTCTGCACGTGGGCGTAATTGATCCATGCCTGTAAGTCATATGTGTCGATGTTTATTTTTATGAAAGATGATTGCACTTTTCAAACCTTATAGTTTTAAGTACAATTTAAAATGGTACTTTTATGTTCATTACAATTTTATCAAGCAGGCGAATGACGGCTAAAACGGTATTTGCAGTAGTGTAGTATCGAAATTATTGTGGCCATTCATTTTGTTTGTAGTAGTGTAACAGACCATTCTTAATATTTTTTGCCACAATGTTTGAAGTAGAGTAGTAATCTTGTCAATTAATTGTCTATTAATTTGTTTTCTTGTAGTGTATTTTTTTTCTAAGTAACGTAGGCCTTTTATCCTTTATTTTACAGTACTGAAGTATTTTAGTAAACATAAAAAACACATAGTTAAGATCGAATAAGAAATACATTCTTCAACTATCTGTATATACACATTTCCATGTTCACTGTTTCTTTTTGTCTTTTTCAAACCATCCAGTGCACGCGTGCCAAATTTAAGTATTAGACGCGTTTCAGTGTTTAGGCGGTTTTTTTTTAATTATGGCAAAACCGAACGGTGGTTACACAAAAGTTTTTTTTTTTATGTCATGTCCACTCTTGTAAAAGTGTTTGGCCACAGGAAGACCGTCTTCATTGTTTATTGAACGCAGGTGTTGGCTAACCCTGTCAGACAATCGTTTCCCCGTTTGTCCAATATAAAAGATGGTTTGAACAAACAGGTATCTTTCACCTAACCCCTCCCCCATACACCACGTCCCCAACCCCACCCATATACGGTGCCCAAGCATTCCATTTCACACGTCTTTTCTTTTGGATGTCGTGGAATTTAGACAAGGCATGTTTTCACGTTCGAGCTAAGTCCAAATTGTGTTAAGGTTTGTTTTTTCTGTCTAATCTGTAACCACACTGTTGTGTGTTGACGAAGACCTTGGGTCGAAACTTCCATAGTATTTGTAACTGTCTTTAACTTGTGAGGTAACTAACACTATATTATGTTTTAATACTAATTGAATTCGCCTCACTGCAGCTACCATTTATATTTACCGTTTTTTAATATAATGTTCTGGTTTTGATTCAGGTTTCGAATAAAGTGCGATTTTATAATTTAACGTCAATCTTGTTAATGTTTTGGCTCCGGCTAATTTCCGGTTAAATTTTTAGTTAAAAATTTCCGATTCCGGTTATTGTGGAAACTACGTATCGAATAACGTTACTTTTCATTTCCGGTTAAATGACTTCCCTTTAACTGTTTTGGCTCCAGTTACATTTCCGTTACTGATAAAATTAAGGCTCCGATAAAAATTACGGTCGATTTTCTGGATCCTATTTAAATGCACGTACCGGTTAAATTCCGTTTGAGGTTCCGGTATTCTTACCGTTCCGATTAAATTTCAGGTTACGGTTCAGATTAAATTATCAGTTAAAGCTACGGTGAAATCTATTGGCAGTTTCTGTTCCATGATTAAATGATGTTAAATTTATAAGGATTTCTTTGAATTTAAGTTGAAAAAGTGAAATACATCGATGTTTCTTCTTTCAGTACGTTTCACGATCAAATTGATTGTTTCCAAGAATTTTTTAGAAACAGGAAATGCACAAATGCCTATAAAGCCGATAGCCTTTCAAAATTTACTAATTTGTTGAACATGTGTATTCGTAAGTATGTGTTTTATTGCAATTAAAATTTTATTTGAAGATTCTACGTGCATATGCATTGTTCATAAAATATTTTTATTTATGAAATCTTTAAGAGGATTGAAATAAATAAAATAGCTCGTTTGTTTGTTTAGGGAAATACATTCATTCTTCTTATTTTTATTTAGATAACATTTATAATGCCCTATTATGCTTAATTTGTTTTGCTGTTGACTAAGTGCTGAGCCTACTGGTTGTGTTGTTATGACATATATAGGACTGGCAGAAAGTCTATTGATTGCACTAATTAAGTTTTTATAACATGTATGTTACGGCAGTAAGTCTATTGAGTATAACATAGGCCTATGTGTGAAGTCAGTAAGTATATTGAGTATAACATAGGCCTATATGTGAAGTCAGTAAGTCTATTGAGTATAACATAGGCCTATATGTGAAGTCAGTAAGTCTATTGAGTATAACATAGGCCTATGTGTGAAGTCAGTAAGTATATTGAGTATAACATAGGCCTATATGTGAAGTCAGTAAGTATATTGAGTATAACATAGGCCTATGTGTGAAGTCAGTAAGTCTATTGAGTATACTGATCTTGTGTACAAAAAGCGTTACTTAAAGTTAACTCTGAACATAAAATCAATGTCAATATAGTAAAGTAAATAACGATTCCTCTTTACATCTAGCGATCCATCAGGCGGATGAAAAAATATGACGTCATTTTAGCGGTTGGGGAGGGGTAAATGTTTGTGAAGATGTGTGACAGACGGGATAAAAATAGACCAGTGTAGGGTGTCATCGTAATTGATCGAATAAGCTACGGGTATTTGGTGCAGTTTTGTAAATGTTTTTTTCAAGGGTCTGTTTTTTGTTTGTTACAAGAAGGTATTTGCTATCTCGTACTTTTTTGTACTTTTGTCTTATGGGTGTTATGGCAATTCGGCTAGATTCGATGAAAATGCAATGTGACTTAAAAACGTAACTTAATTGAGTGCTAAATTAATTATCAATCAATTAATTTGTTTGTTATATAAAGTACTAATTTCCGCGCTTTTTTACGCACATTGTTTTTATTTGATGCGCAATTTTTTTTTCATGTAATTACATATAATTTTATTTACAAGCTTTCATAAAATTATGCACTAAAAACAAAACACAAATGATCTTTAAATATATAATAATGAACCACTATTTAAATAATTAAAAAGGAAAGAGTGGGTCGCTTTATTAAGTAGTTAATACGAAACAATCCGCTTTTTCTTTTTTAGTTATTTGAAGAGCGGTTCATTATTAAATAATTAAAGAAAAATTCATATTTAGTGCATAATTATATAAAAATGCTTTATTAGAAAGTTTTTTTTAATGAATTTTGCAAAGTTACACCTACATCAAAATGATAATTTTTAAATACAGTTGACAATAAAATTTATTCAAAATAAAATAAAATGTCTACGACTTTAACTTTTCTATTAATTAATTTATTTATTAGCTGACACGAATTATCCAATCATGCATTATAAAAATGTCGTTGTGTCGAATAGTTTACCACTCTTTTAATATGTTGTGCAGGAGTACCTATTGTTTTTAAATGTTATTATACATCGATTTACTATAATCTATTTTCCTACTTTCTCAGCTCCACCGCCGGGAGGGACCACTTTGCCCACTGAGAGCACCTTGCCAGCAGGTAATGACAACAACAAAAATTGAGAGACATCCGAACCTATGTTTACAATTCAAGACATTTCCGCACCCACATATACTAATAACTCCGACAACATTTTCGCTAAGGATATTTTTTAAGTGGTGCAACAAGAATATAAACGTGATTACTTTTGTCTAGAGAAACATCTGCATTATAATTTTAAGGGAAAAATAAGAGCATGTGAGTCTTAATCTCTATCACATAAAATTCGAAATACCATTAGCCAGGGAGAGATTTAAATGTTCAAACCAAATTAATTGTTGTGAACATGAAAACAAAACATGGGGTCTGTTTGTATCTTCGAGATTATTCTTGTTTAATATTGGGAGTAAATTGACAATAACATAAGAAATTTTTCTATTTAATTAATTTTTTACCGATTTATTAAAATTATCTACATTTTTCAAAAAAAAAATTCGCCATCTTGTAATTACGAAATCGAGAAATTGGTGAGCTACTTAAAGCCTAAACATAGCCTTATATTTTTATCAAGAATTAAAAAAAAAACTTATTAAGGGCATCCCTAAACAACTGATAATGTCAAAAAAATTGTACATTAACAACAATAATTAAAATTCTTTGAAATGATTTATAAATTCGCAAAAAAAAAAATACTAAAAATAAAATCTAAACTCAGTTCCCTCTTTGTTATATCATACATACATGTTCCCTTAAATATACATAATCTTACACATAAAACAAAATGTACATAAAGGAATTAAAGAAAGATAATGTTTTGATTTTAGGTCATACTGATTTCCCCATGGATGTAAATGTTACAACGAGGCAATATGAAGACGCTACAGGTATCTCACAGCTGTTTAAAAGCTTTTTTAAAATTTCGATTGATCGTCTGAAGTGAATGATTAATGCCTTTTATTTGCTTATCATAGGGAATGTAATATATGTTGTAGCATCGTTCACTGTGTCTTATGTGTTAGACAATAATTTAATACAATAATATAGACCGAGTAGTGTGTAAAAAGTCTGGAGTTTAGTTTAGCTTAACGATAATTATTATTATTAATTAAGCTTTGATATAGAATATGTCCACGTCCTTATATCTTTTTTTAGCAAAGGGTTTTTAGCAGTAGAAATGATGTTAAAAAAAGTAATTCCTAGATTGTTTTGCTCAACCAAGTACAACCATACACTGTGGGAAAACTATTTGACAAACGGCCTTTATAATTTTAACAACGATCAGACGCAAGCGCCTGCACATTTTGACTACACTGTTCGGCCAAATGTCTCTACGTTGTGACAACATGTTTTATCTTTCAACCTCTGGCTGTCCATGCAGCTTTCAAAACACATTTCACATGTTATATACCTTCTCACACCTTCCCACACCTTCTCACACCATCGTACACCTTCCCACACATTCTCACACCTTCCCACACCTTCTCACACCTTCCCACACCTTCTCACACCTTCCCACTTCTGTTAGACTTTTGTTCTGACTTCACTTTTTAAACATGAAGCCGTTGTTTTCAAATCTCCGTCCTGTAGAATCATATAACTCATTTTCCCCCAAATCCTTTCTTTTAGAATCGATATCAACAAGAGATCCCGGCTTCAGCGCAATCATAACCACGGAGGTTCGAACACCATCGATGGCTCCTGGAGGTATTAGCACATTGTGATTTTTTTTACTTATGGTAAACCAGTCGGCTTAACACGGTCAGTTTATACTCAATATTTCCTGGTGGTTGAATTGTTAAGTTAAGAAATTGTGCAATGAATCTAGTATTGTGTCGTTTGTAAATCTATTTATTTTCACTGAACTGAGTAACAATATATTTTATCTACAGCCAATTGCGAAGATATGTACAGAGTGTGTTTGCCGGAAGGTAGCGATAGGCTCTCTTGGTGTCAGTAAGTTATTCATCTGGAAAATGTCAAAACATTGCTCTTTGTTTTAGACTCACTGGAGAGTAGTACGACAGTGTGATGAGCTAGCAACGTTACATAACCGACTCTAGCACTGGAGAGTGATACGCCAGTTTGATGAGCTAGCAACGTTACATAACCGACTCTAGCACTGGAGAGTTAGTACACCAGTTTGATGAGCTAGCAACGTTACATAACCGACTCTAGCACTGGAGAGTGATACGCCAGTTTGATGAGCTAGCAACGTTACATAACCGACTCTAGCACTGGAGAGTTAGTACACCAGTTTGATGAGCTAGCAACGTTACATAACCAACTCTAGCACTGGAGAGTGATACGCCAGTTTGATGAGCTAGCAACGTTACATAACCGACTCTAGCACTGGAGAGTTAGTACACCAGTTTGATGAGCTAGCAACGTTACATAACCAACTCTAGCACTGGAGAGTGATACGCCAGTTTGATGAGCTAGCAACGTTACATAACCGACTCTAGCACTGGAGAGTTAGTACACCAGTTTGATGAGCTAGCAACGTTACATAACCGACTCTAGCACTGGAGAGTTAGTACACCAGTTTGATGAGCTAGCAACGTTACATAAACAATCTCTAGAACTGAATGTTATAGAACGATCTATAATTAACAACCATTTCCTGTGCCACGATCGAGTGAGCTGCCAATGGCTAACCTTTAAGTCACTGATTGGCGAACGCCAAACCTCCCTGAGTCGAAACAGCACTAACGGATACCGTACCATAAAGTTTAACATTTAATCTTTAGATTCGCTTACGTAATAAATACAGAACAACTCTACTTCATCTACCTAATCCAACGTCGGGGTTATTCTTTATTTAAAACGATTCTAGTAATTGAATAATTTAAGATGCATCACTCTTGGTATACAATAAATTACCTCGAGATACTTGTATAATTGATTCCGTAGAATTATCATCTTAAATATAAATGCCCATTGCAATTTCACTATAAAATAAACTGTTTTTATTATGAAATCAGAAAAGTGGATAACCATTGGAATTGCATGAAAGGACTCATTAATACATTAACCTGTACTGAAGACATCAGAAACATGGCGTCTCAATGGATGATTGAAAATGGCCGTCCTCTTCATTGCCCACGTAAGAAAATTAAATATAATAACTTACATTATTTAGCATGCTGTGTAAAAATAATCATGTTTCCAAATATAGTCGTATTAAATCTGTATTATACTCACAATATATATATATATATATATATATATATATATATATATATATATATATATATATATATATATATATATATATATATATATATATTATTTATTTATTTATTTATTTATTTATTTATTTATTTATTTATTTATTTATTTATTTATTTATTTATTTATTTATTTATTTATTTATTTATTTATTTATTTATTTATTTATTTATTTATTTATTTATTTATTTATTTATTTATTTATGTATATATATATATAATATATTTCCTCATGCATATAGATATATCTATTTATTTATCTATTTATCTAAAAAGCAACAACACCAACTGCAATCCCTCAAGTGATACTACAAAGTATGTAATTGTTTTTTAAATGTTTGTTGTAGGTTTACACTAGTGTAAAGTAAATTTGTGGGGTTTGTTTTCAACATTGCTTTAATCTTATTTTGTAGGTTTGATCTGCCTTTTTTGCTGGCAGAGACGTAGCGATCCATTCTGAAACCGGAACTATCCCTTTCCCTTAATCACGCCACCCCCCCCCCCCCCACCCCCCCCCCCTCTCCCATTTAGAAAGGTTCGGTTCGGTATTTACCAGTCACAGTCCCCTGAGCAGATTGTACTTATATTAAGCGTCAAAGCAGTCTATTTTCAAAACCTTGACAGTAATGTCAGTAATGAGATTTTTTTTGTCTTATTTGTTTGGTAGGTTCGGCGCCCGGGGCGGGCACCCCACTCACCCTTCCATTGCTACACAGCTTATGTTTTCGTGTTTTTCTTTCTTATTTTGAATGTGTTAGTTTCTATGTTACATGTATTGAGACAATTTAAACATTTTTTTTTAGTTGAGGAAAAGATTTGCGGGATGGCACCAACGTGTGTTGACCAACCACACTATGAATCTGTTTGCCAGTAAGTTACTTAAATTTGGTCTATTTATCTCTCAGACGTATATTTATACGTGGCCTTATGAACATACACGTACAATGACGCGAAAGTATGCATGTGTGTGTGTGTCTGTATGTATCGATATACGTGCCTTTGTAAGCTTGTACCTATGGGTTGTTAGTTTTTTTTTTTTTACTTTCACGTGCAATTTAAAAAATCGAGATTTTCACAGATCTTGACGTTTCACACCTCCCTGGGTCGGAAAAATATAGTTTTGCAATCTTGTCCGTATGTCTGTATGTGTTTGTGTGTCTGTGTGTGTGTGTGTGTTTGTATGTGTCTGTGTATGTGGTTGTCTGTAAACACGATAACTTCAGTACCGTTACAGCTAAGTTGATGACATTTCATATATGAGTATTATATCAAATTTGTAGTTCTTTATCAGCTTTTTAGCGATTTACGATAACCGGAAGTGGAACTTATTCTACTTTCAAAAATTCTCAAAAGCCTATAACTTGACTACTATTTCAGATACCCTGATAAACGAAATTAAAAAATAAGTAAAACATCTAATTCTCCGCCTTCTGTCACATTTTTTTTTAGTAATTTCCGTTGACCGGAAGTAGTAAATTAGCTATTTCCGATATATATATGAATCTATAAAGTACTAGTAATATTTCGCACTATTATACACAGATTGTTCGGCGTTCACTTTTTTTTTCAATTTTTTTTCTACGAGATTCTATTCTATTTTAAAAAGTTTAAGTAATTAAAAATGGATTTAAAATCGTGTCTATATCCCGAGTTGCCATCTAGCATAGTGTTATTTGAGAATATTCGAGAAAGTTTAGGGGAGATCACTCCCGGTTTACTGAGTCATTTTGTTGAAGTCTTATCATCTGATACCGCATGCGATATCACTGCTTGCTCTGATTCACTAAATATATAGTTTTTGATATCTCTGATGGTTTTCAATTTCTACACCTTAAATTGAATCGATGGTCTTAAGATGTGTCTATAACTAGTTCCGTATCTCACAGGGAAGATAGCGATGGTAGAGTGCAGTTGCAATGCTTAAATGAAGTCATAGACAAAGATTATTGCTTTCCGAGGGAAGCTAAATCGGCTAAACTGGGGAGGATGGCCATCGTTGATAAAATGTTGGAATACAACTGCGAAGGTAAAATGTTGACTGGGGTATAATATATATATATATATATATATATATATATATATATATATATATATATATATATATATATATATATATGTATGTGTGTGTGTAAAAACACTAACAGACCTAATATAGCATCGTTCATGGAGGACCACCCAGACTTTTTCCCTGAGTGCCCACCGGTATTTATGACCTGTTTGTCCATCGATGCAGATCAAATCTCATGTTAAAAAATCTGAAATTTCCTCCCAGTCTTCAGACTACTTACACAGCGATTTAGTCTGGAACTTATTCCCTTTTGAACATAGAGCTAGGAAAGAAAATTTAAGCAGCACTAATGATGCAAAGAGTAAAGGCCGTGTAGGTTAATATTAAGTTATTAAGCTAAAGTGGTAATTGCAAATTACATTACTCTGTATTTTTACTCGCATTTAATTTTTTACCATTAAAAAATATGTTTCACGTTGTTTTTAATCGGTTTTGAGTAATCAATTAGTAATGAACCATTTTTACTGCATGGTTTTAATCTTATTTAATATTAGGTAAATAGTCCATTTAAACCCAATTGACAATTATAAAATAATTTTAAAAAATTTAATTAAATATGATACTCACTATTTACCAATAATTTCATTCTTTCAAAATCACAATGTGTAAACGTATCTATCAAAATTTAACCCACATCAAAGGCTTTAATTTTCATTGAAACTTACTTCCCTTTATAACTTAGTCAACAGAAATTTATATTTGTAATATTAAATGTGGCGCAAAGCTGAGTTAAACATAAACATGTTCTTTTCCCTACTTCAGCGATAGTTTTTTAAAAACATTTTCTGAATTGTATTTTATTCAGTGTTGAATGTGTAACAAGATGCTTTGTTCTATCTCTTATTGTATTTTATCTAACGTTGAATGTGTAACAAGATGCTTTGTTCTATCTCTTACTGTATTTTATCCAACGATGAATCTGTAACAAGATGCTTTGTTCTATCTCTTATTGTATTTTATCCAACGTTGAATGTGTAACAAGATGCTTTGTTCTATCTCTTACTGTATTTTATCCAACGTTGATTGTGTAACAAGATGCTTTGTTCTATCTCTTATTGTATAATTTTATCCAACGTTGAATGTGTAACAAGATGCTTTGTTCTATCTCTTATTGTATAATTTTATCCAACGATGAATGTGTAACAAGATGCTTTGTTCTATCTCTTATTGTATTTTATCCAACGTTGAATGTGTAACAAGATGCTTTGTTCTATCTCTTATTGTATTTTATCCAACGTTGAATGTGTAACAAGGTGCTTTGTTCTATCTCTTATTGTATAATTTTATCCAACGTTGAATGTGTAACAAGATGCTTTGTTCTATCTCTTATTGTATTTTATCCAACGTTGAATGTGTAACAAGATGCTTTGTTCTATCTCTTATTGTATAATTTTATCCAACGTTGAATGTGTAACAAGATGCTTTGTTCTATCTCTTACTGTATTTTATCCAACGTTGAATGTGTAACAAGATGCTTTGTTCTATCTCTTACTGTATTTTATCCAACGTTGATTGTGTAACAAGATGCTTTGTTCTATCTCTTATTGTATAATTTTATCCAACGTTGAATGTGTAACAAGATGCTTTGTTCTATCTCTTTATGTATAATTTTATCCAACGATGAATGTGTAACAAGATGCTTTGTTCTATCTCTTATTGTATTTTATCCAACGTTGAATGTGTAACAAGATGCTTTGTTCTATCTCTTATTGTATTTTATCCAACGTTGAATGTGTAACAAGGTGCTTTGTTCTATCTCTTATTGTATAATTTTATCCAACGTTGAATGTGTAACAAGATGCTTTGTTCTATCTCTTATTGTATTTTATCCAACGTTGAATGTGTAACAAGATGCTTTGTTCTATCTCTTATTGTATAATTTTATCCAACGTTGAATGTGTAACAAGATGCTTTGTTCTATCTCTTACTGTATTTTATCCAACGTTGAATGTGTAACAAGATGCTTTGTTCTATCTCTTATTGTATTTTATCCAACGTTGAATGTGTAACAAGATGCTTTGTTCTATCTCTTATTGTATTTTATCCAACGTTGAATGTGTAACAAGATGCTTTGTTCTATCTCTTACTGTATTTTATCCAACGTTGAATGTGTAACAAGATGCTTTGTTCTATCTCTTATTGTATTTTATCCAACGTTAAATGTGTAACAAGATGCTTTGTTCTATCTCTTATTGTATTTTATCCAACGTTGAATGTGTAACAAGATGCTTTGTTCTATCTCTTATTGTATTTTATCCAACGTTGAATGTGTAACAAGATGCTTTGTTCTATCTCTTATTGTATTTTATCCAACGTTGAATGTGTAACAAGATGCTTTGTTCTATCTCTTATTGTATTTTATCCAACGTTGAATGTGTAACAAGATGCTTTGTTCTATCTCTTACTGTATTTTATCCAACGTTGAATGTGTAACAAGATGCTTTGTTCTATCTCTTATTGTATTTTATCCAACGTTGATTGTGTAACAAGATGCTTTAATCTATCTCTTATTGTATAATTTTATCCAACGTTGAATGTGTAACAAGATGCTTTAATCTATCTCTTATTGTATTTTATCCAACGTTAAATGTGTAACAAGGTGCTTTGTTCTATCTCTTGCTGTATTTTATCCAACGTTGAATGTGTAACAAGATGCTTTGTTCTATCTCTTACTGTATTTTATCCAACGTTAAATGTGTAACAAGGTGCTTTGTTCTATCTCTTGCTATATTTTATCCAACGTTGAATGTGTAACAAGATGCTTTAATCTATCTCTTATTGTATAATTTTATCCAACGTTGATTGTGTAACAAGATGCTTTAATCTATCTCTTATTGTATAATTTTATCCAACGTTGAATGTGTAACAAGATGCTTTGTTCTGGCTCTTGCCTCTAGGCTTAGAACACGATGGACTTAATTTGCTAAAGTTTGAACCGGATTGTGAACAGTGTATCACGCTGGGAATGACCACCATTTTCTTTTACTATGAGCTCCAAGTAGACCTCAACGCAAACGATCAGTGCTACGCATTGTACTTTGATTACTGCAATGGCGACGAGAATGAATGCCAGAAACTGGAAGGCTGGGCCACGGTAAGTGTATTGTTTATTAGAGAAGTGAAGTCTAACGGTAAAGTTATATATTGCGCTCTAATCCTGTTTATTCTGAAATTACATGTCAGAAAGTTTTCCTTCTTTGTGTTGTGAATGTGTAATGGCGCTGACAAGCGGCTGCTGATATCCGTGATACTCAAGCGCACATGGAACTAGTGGAAGCTGATCCAGGGACAAAGTTCAACAGGATCAATAATTATTTGCTCATATGGTTGTCTTGTTTCTCCTTGGCTGTCTATTTAGGTTTAATGCGACAGAAATAGTTCACAGCTATGTGAATTGGTCCCTTGTTTACTTATTCACTCTTATTGTCAGATTCGGCTCTTTGTTTATTTTAAAAAAACGTTTGTATGTATTAGAGTGTAACACCCTACACAACTCAAAGGAGCCGATGCCCAAAATGTGTTCTTTATTTCGATAAAACCCCACTCACGTTTTAATAGAGTTAAGCCAAGCAAGCTGCTAATTAGCTGAACGGGAAGGATTTAATTAATAAAGATTAATTAAGGTTAAAGATTGGTCACCGGACAGAGCGCTGTAAATAGAAGGCATGGCCTACTAACTAACGATAATATAAATAACCAGAGGCGTAGCGAGGGGGGGCGGGGGGGGGGGGACATAAGTTCCCGGGCGCCGACCATAGGGGGGAGGGCGCCAAATTGAAAGTTCGAGGGGGGGTGCAAATGAAAAGTTCGAGGGGGGGTGCAAATCGAAAGTTTGAGGGGGGGGGGGGTGGAAATGAAAAGTTCGAGGGGGGTGCAAATCAAAAATTTGCTCCCGAGGGGGGCGCGAAATTGAAAGTATGTCCCCGGGCGCCGGGAAGGGTCGCTACGCCTCTGTAAATAACATAACTAGTGCTAAAAGTATAGGATAGAATTATGTAGTGGGGTAGAGGAATAATAGATGATTATTTCATACAACTCGAGGGAAAATTATAACAATGTATGATTAGTAAAGTAGCGTGGAAAGTAGTAAGAATGCATCAAATGCTTACAATAAAAGACATAACATTCTAAAGGTCTTGGAATTCCATCAGATCCGGGGTAAGGGGGGGGGGGTTGGAGTACAGGTAGGGGGTTTGAGGTAGAAACCGAGATGGCGGTACAATAATATTACCATCAAATTAAATATTTCGGTCATTTCTCCAGGACTGATCTTTGTAAAAAAACAAAAACTGACGCTGCAGAAGTAAATATAGCTATTTTGGTAAACGCTTGCCTTCAACTCATTTAAACAGGTTAATGTGACGTCGTTTTGTGAAGCCGCCTCGCAATTAAAATGCTAAAACTTGGTAGACTTATATGGAAAGCAGTGGCCGAGTCAATAGAAGACATAAACCCACTCGTTGCTAGTTTGGGATCCATGTCGTCATTGTAATTGGGTTTTTTTTTTAGAGTAAAGTGGTTTTGCCAGGAACATATGAGTTCCAGCCGTGTTGTGTTTTGTTTAGACTGTTTGTTGCTTCAAAATTATTACAAACATAATTTATTTGTTGCTTTCTTGACGAGAGAATCTAATTATGCAAGAAATGGTTTAGCAAGCAGACTCCGCCTAGGACCTCTAGCTGACCGGAGGACATTCTCAAAGCACGCCACGGTGCTATACATTCTGATGAATTTGCCAGTAGAATAGTTTTATGCTTCAATGGTTGTTGATTAATATAATGTACTGAATATGATTAAAAGATGCATTCAAACATAGGCTGCTTTCTAAAATGTATCTAAATATTATTCTCTTTCTAGGGATGTACATTCACCTCAGACTGTGAAACTGGTTTTGTATCGTACTATGAATTAAGAACCCATCCACTAGAAGCCTACTGTAATGTTTGGCAGGATGCAGA